GTTCGATTCCTGGGTCGGACCAAATGTTTGTATGATCTGCAAATATTTGTTTCGAAGTTTGGGTGTTTTCTAAATATAATATGTATGTATTTACAAAAAATATTATATAAGTATTCTATCAGTCAATACAAGCTCTGATTAGTTTAAAACTAGATGGCGTTGTGTGTCACATGTCCAAAAATATTATTATTTATATATTTTCTAATGGAAAACACAATTTGTCACTTTTTTTTGTTTGACCTCTTTATTCCATAGCAATAAATAAAAATAGCAGCATATATATAATTATAATAGCTTTTGCACGCGACCTCGTCCTCGTGGTGGTCGAAATCAGACATTGTAATTAAACTGAGAGTTTAGAATCAATAAGTTAAAAAAATAGTTCCCCATACAAAGTTCTTAAAGATAAAAATTAGAAACAAGGTTTTTATTACTTCTAATAAAGAGTGTTTACTGTGAATTAAAAAAAACCTTTCTTAGAGCATACCTACGTCAAAGCACATTTGTGCAACATTTCATGCTTCTAGACCCAGGGGTCTCAGCTGTGCGTTGATCGATCACTCAGAGAATTAGTCTGTCAGTTTCTTCTTTTATAGATATAGATTTTTTTTAAGCTGGTTTGTGTACTCAGCAAAACTCAAAAAGTTCTGCACAAATTGAGCTCAAATTTTGACACAATGTGACAACACGCTTCAAATATGTTTTTTTTTCTAGTTTTGCAACCACAATGTGCTACAGCGTTGCGTTGCAGGTTACAGATAATTACATATCATATTTTTGCTGATACGTTAAGTTACAAAATCATCATCAATATTTTTTTACAAACGTATTGTGTTATTGTTATGAAATGCTTAACTAAATTTCATATGCTATCGATACATTTTGTGCTAAAAGTATTACATGACGAAATATTATCGTAAAATGTTAAGTCAGATTTTAAGTAAGTTAAATATTGCAAAAAGATGGAATAATTACAAAATATACATGTTAGTTTTTAGTAATATGTATAGTTTTTCGTTATTAACAAATTATTGGAGAGAGGTAATTTTTAGACTTTTGAGGTAAAAAATATAAATATGCTATATATATATCCTCACAAGATTTTGTTACATGTATAGGTGTTTGTTACTTAATCATAAGTTAAGTTAAGTAAGAATACAGATTGTCACCACCCCTATTCATCCTGTGGGTGTTGTAAGAGTCAACTAAGGGAAAAAACTACTCAGAACAACAACACTGCAGAGAGAAGGAAAACTTGACACAAACCCTATACCAACCCGTCTGGCCAGCGTGGTATAGTAGGCCAAAACCTCCTTTCTAAGGAGAGGCTTATGTCCAGCAGTGGACTATTAAAGGCTGTTGATGATGATGACTTAATCATGATAAAACGGCTGAACAGATCTGGATAAAATTTGGTAGATACAGAGATAAATTATATTCTGGAGCAGGACATATACTACTTTTTATGATGGAAATATTGGTTGATAAATCGACATTAATGCAAGTTCAGTCACTGGTAAAACCAGACGATAATAAGTATAAAATAGTTTGCTGTAGACCATCGAGTCGCTCCTGATTTACCCAGTTGCAATGATTGGGTAAAACCACCAAGCAATCGGATGACAACTTATTTTGTTAATGATCCTTGTTGCCACGCTCTTGGAGGAATACTTAGTATTAAAAGAGAATACACGATAATATAATAATACATATAATAAAAATATTTCGGACATCTGACACTAAGTCATCTAGTTTCGAACTACGCAGAGTTGTACTATGAAATCTAGATTGACTGATACTCGTAGAATACTTATATATTTTTTTAAATTGTAAATAAATACAAAGAAAACACCCAAACTCCGACACAAATATTTGCAGATTATACAAACATTTGGTCTGATCCGGGAATCGAGCCCGAGACCTCAGCACAGCAGTCGCATAAACTACCACTATGCCACGGAGGCAGGGATATATATTATTAAAGCATATAATAATAATAATATTCTACAACATTCACACAACGCCATCTAGTCCCAAACTAAGCAGAGCTTGTACTATGTCTACTAGACAAGATACATATACTTTTTTTTTTGGAAATACAAACTTATTACACATATAAACACCCAGACCAAATCAAACATTAAATGTTCATGCACACAAATGTTTGAGTTGAGCGGGAATCAAACCCGCCGCCTTTGGAAAAGCAGTCCTTTACCACAAACCACTACGCCATCCGGTCGTCGGCGTAGCCAGTATCAGTTCAATAATAATATTCTTAAAGCATACTGGCCACCTGATATGACCTTTTTTTTAAAGACACCTCCCGCGTTAGGAATATATCCAATGTCGCGGAGGACTTTACAAACATAAATGAAACGGACATTAAGAACACCCAGACTCAGAACAACAATTTGTGGATCACACAAAGTGCCGTCCCATGTGGGGATCGAACCCACAACACTCAGCGTAGTAGGAAGCGGTGTGGCGACCAATACGATATCCGTGCAGTCTTAGTTCAGTTTACACAGCACAATTAGTATTCTTCTACGAAACTATCGACCCGCCCTGGCTTCGTACGTGAAATGTAGATACTAATGTAGTGTGGAGTATTTACTCATATTATTATTTCTTTATTTCATTCTTTATCCATATAAATTACATTTTTAAATATATTTATATACAAAAACAAAAAAAAAAAACATTTAAAAATATAAAAAATAGTATCCCATCGGTATCTTGTACAGAGACCAAGATATCGGTGGTTAGGACTCCAGAGACAGAAACTTCCTCACAATACGTGCCGTATCGAGAAGAACTGCTTTCTGCATCAGACCCTTAATCCAACTGCCTAACGCGAGCCTCTGAAGATGTTGGTCGATGCTCTTAGCAACATATTATTATTATTATTAGACTATGCTACAGGATATCTTTATATACAATGTTTACTTTATTTCATCTCCCGATTTACTGAGGAGGGAAGAGAATTTATTACACTACCGACTTCTCCGATTTTCATCTGATTAATTTAGTGCCAAGACAGTTTAATTTTTCCTGTGACTTACCTAGTGTGTCGGGGTGTCCGGAGGTCACTATGGTTGATCCTGGTGTACAGGAGTTAAAATTGTGGGCATGTGGGAGGGATTTTCTACGAAAACTCTTCAAAGAACATTAAATTTTCAACGTAACGTATAAAATGAGGATTTAGCAATGTAATATATATTTTGAGAACATACATAAATTTATAATATAAACATCTAAGAGTATATGTTTATACTATCTTCTTTGGACTCTATCTTTGGACTCAGACCAACCAAAGACCAACAATGCTTCAGGTGCCTGTCACAAAGGTGATGGCAACGATTGGACTAAAATCGAAAATATTAAGACACAAAATGAAGGAGAAAAAAAATGTTACATACATTCCTAAACTTCTTACTGTCACCGACAAGGGAAAAAAGTTGGGACTAAATTCAATGGCAATGCAAGAAAAGATATATTGAATACCTAGAGTGCCTCGGTAGTGCAGTGGTAGCGTATGCGACTGCTGTGCTGAGGTCTCGGATTTAATGCCCGGGTCTGACCAAATTATCTGCAATTATTTTTTTACGAGTTTTGGTTTTCTACGTATAATATGTATGTTTTAACAAAAAAAGTAAATAAGTATTTTATTAGTCAATTTAACTTTTTTAGTACAAGCTCTGCTTAGTTTGAAACTAGATGGCGTTGTGTGTCAGATGTTCGAAATAAATATAATTATTATTATTATAGATTGGGAAGTGTAGTAGATCGAGAATGTCAGGGTCTTAGAACTATGCCTGGAACAGGCTTTCACCAGAAAGTCCGAACTCGCTTATCCATAATGCCACACTTATAAATGTGAAAGTGAGGTTGTTTGTTTGTTATACTTTTACGCCTAAACCACTAAACCGATTTCGAAAAATCTTTTATAAATGGAAAGCTAATATGGAGTAACAAAACAGATTACTTTTTACCGTGAATACCGACAACCACAAACCTAGTATAATATGAAAAAATAGATATTATTGTATGTTTATGAATAAATACCTAAACGTTTTATTAAGTAAGTTTTTCTATTTATCTAGGGATAGAAAGAATGAAACAAAAAACAAAAAGAGCCACCGTAAACGATTACGAAATTAACAGCATCCTCATAGAAGAAACCGGCTTCTAAAATAATTTACAGCATTTGTGATTTGAAATACCGTTTCTTGGTGTTTAGTGTGGCATCATCTCAGTTCGTATGAAGTTCAAAACACGACATCGCTTCCGCTTCCTGTTCTTTGCACTTAATAGGATAATCGGTGTTTAGGGTTGACACTTTCGCATGTTATTACGATGTTGGAATAAACTAGTTTCTCACTGAAATATTAAATTTGATTTAGATATTCTGAAATGTTTTATAATAAGTACTTAAGTTGTAAGTTTATAATTTTTATACTCTAAATTTTTCATGTGTTTCTTAACTGAATGTTCAAATTGTTCAAATACACAAGATTATTTGGATCTTGCACTATACAAAAACCATTATCTTTTCTGTACCCTGTTATGAAGGCAATAACTTTACAGTCTAAAGTGGATATTGTTTTAATTCAAAGCCCAGATCTGGATTTTCGAGTCATGAAGGCAGAATTATTGTAACTGTCCCTAATACCGGTATCTTCTAACGATTTCCCGTGTTATTAAAAAAATCAACTGCACAGATAGCGTAGTGGTTTAAGCGGTCACCTCACCGTTTCCTACTGCGCTGAGTGTTGTGGGTCCGATCCCCACATTTGATAACAGTTTGTGTTATTTATTTTTATTATGATTGTCATTATAATTTGTAAATTTGACAACCCTATTCAGTGTCCAACTATTTCACTCAGTACCAACAGTTGAAGACACGCATTGTGCCAGATTAGTAGTGCAAGACTAGGGCTGAAAGTGAGGAGAAAATAAAATAATTAATGATTATGATAATTAAGTGGTAGTGTACAGACATGAAAGTGGAAATACCAAAGTTCGAGAGATGTTGTTGTTGTTTGCCGTTGCGTCGAGGGATCCTAACATTTGCGTATTTGAATTTGGTTAGCATTTTATGTATTTTATTACTTACTAGCTGGTATCTGCGACTTTGCGTGGAATTTGAAGAGCGCTGCCTTGGTGGGTTCGATTCTCGGACCGGGAAAATTTTTATAGGGATTTTCTGAGACAAAAAATAGCCTAAGTTACTACTTATATAGACAGCTACCTGGTACAAAAAAAATTCAAAATCGGTCCAGCCGTTTAGAAGATTACCCGGAACAAACATACAGACAGACAGACAAAAAATAAATAAACTGGTAGGTATCGTGTAAATAACCGTGTTAGCATAAAAAAACCTATTAATTTGACATTACAAACAGACACTTCAATTTAATTCATTTGTACAGACTAGTAAGTAAGTAATGTAAGTGAGGTTGGGTTTGATTTTTAGATCAGGAAATTGTTTTTGATCTTCATTTAATTTCTACATAAGATAGGTAACCCTGTAACAGTATGAAATATAGATGTTTGCTAACACATAACATATGCTTGTTAATATGTTCGCTTTGTTTGATATCAAGGGGCAAGCAAGCACATGGGTCTTCTGAATGTAGTTTACCACCACTGCTCACGGTCATCATCATCACCGTAGATCATATTTGTTCTGGGTCTAAGTGTAATTTATGTATGTACTAGCCGCGACTTCGTTCGAGTCGAATTTGATAAGCGCTGCCTTAGTGGTATAGTACGCGATCGAAGTCCATGAGACCATTTGTTCGATTTCCGAACCGGACAAAATTTTATAGGGTTATTCTGAGAGAGAAAATACCTGGTAGTATGATTTTAGATAGATATTATTAAAGTCAGTCCAGCCGTTATGAAGATTACATACAGACACATGGACAAAATATATTTTTACTGGTTTTTAGGCATAGGTATGTTGCAAATAACCGTGTAAGCATAAAAAACCTATTATTCTAATATTACAAACAGACACTCCAATTTTATTTATTTGTATAGATTAGAAGTATATAATTTATATCCCTTCGGGAATAAACAATATAAGTATTATATGTATGTATTATGTAATATGCTTATTTTTACCATTACTCCTTTTGCTTCAGTTTATCACAATTTTCTTCGGCGTCCTGCAAGTGTCGCTATGGGTTTACTACTACTACCCATTCATGAAGCTCCAGTCTTCGATGATGGTGATGTACCGTGGTATCGTCATCGAAGCACAAATGTTCTTTGTCATAGCCCTACATGTTTTGGACGTAGTGTTCAATATTATTCTGATAGTTGGAGCTCATATGGTGAGTATTTCAAAGATTTTTTTTTTCATTTTCTTTAATATATAACCTGCTTAAAGACCTTGGATTGTCAAGAGCTTCAGTGAGCTCTTTTCTTGAACGAATATCCAAAGCGGCACTGCTAGGCTCGTATCAAATATGTTTAGGTTGAGGGAGTAACGCAGCATACAGTGGATGTGAGCGCTGACGTGGTAAGGAGTACTTCCTAAACCTATACCTGGGTCGCAATTCCCAGGCGCTGTCTAAGTCGCATGTTTTGCCACCATGTATCACGCGATATCCAGCACCCGCACGGTGAATTCATGGAACGCTTTTTTCTGGTTTATATTCGCTTCGCCTTAAAAGGTCAATATACAAGAATGTGAATTCTGGAAACATTGCATAAAAGCTGCTAAGGGAATTCCTGTTTTATTGAAAAAATTATAAAGTTCTTATTCGCAACGCAATAATTTGTATTAGTATTTCAACCCTAAGTCTATCCGTTAGCTTCCATATGCTTGCTCTCTGCTATACGTCTCTAATACCTTTGATCCTGTATATCCTGGAGAATATTAGATCAGAAAATATATTATAAAAGGAGTTTAAAGGAGGATAAAAGTTAATCGGCATATCGATCATGTTAAAATTGGACTCAAATGTGATTGATCTTTAAAAAAATTGTATTTATAAAAGTAAGCAACCGTACTGAAGTGATGTAAGTATTCCCTCTTCTTGAAGAAGACAGCGCCAAGCATAGAATGTCCATGGTCTTGACCTATAATAGTATAATATTTGTAGTTTATTACTGTTTAAGTTTTCAGTAGTGTTACAAAGTTAGGCTTCTAAAGAATATCAGAAGCAGGCCGGGGTGGCGGCGAGCGCGTTGCGAAGCGCGCTCGCTTCCAGGGAGCAGAGGGAACATGGGGTACCCACACGGGGGGGGGGGGGTCGTCTACCTGTTGTTGTAGATGGCCTGAGATATGTCGGGGCACCAGGGACTTCCTTTCTAGTTCCTGGTTTCTTCTAATACCTGGTTCCCCGGCTATTAGTACCCGAGACGGCGTGCGGTTTTAGTCGGTTCGAGTCCGACATGCCACATGGTGGTATCCGAGGGGATTTCCGCAAGGAAAAAAAAAAAGGCTTCTAAAGAATCTACTATTTAGTCACACCGTCTGTCTATCAACGCACGTGTAAATGACGTGATATTTGTTCCGCCAATGAGAGTGTGGATAGAGTGGCCAAATATAAAACCTTTTCTTATGTACCGTTAATATATGCTTTTTTTTTTTTTTTTTTAACAAGCGCACGTTAATCATGTTTGCATTGTACCTATGTATTTTCTAAATCCATAATACGAGTTCAAGAATAACAGTCTTAAGTCTTTTTTTATCCACGCACCCAACGCAGCAAGCTATCGAATGAACACCGTCTTGTAGACGATCAGCCTTATACTTTCTATCTTCTGTGTGGACATAGGCCTCTCCTGAGAGAGGAGGTTTTAGCCTACTATACCACGCTGGCCAGACGGGTTGGTATAGAGTTTGTGTTAAGTTTTCCTTCTCTTTGCAGTGCTGTTGTCCGTCCATCCGTCACCACACGGACTAGTCTTTGATAACGATGTATAATTATAAATGTTCTTTAGATTAATAATTTTATCTTCGGTTTTTACTTTCAGACAAATGCTAAACTAATGAGATGGTATTACTTCTACCAGTTGACAATGATGATAGCGAATTTCTTTGCGATGCTGGTCATCTACACGGGTATCAGCAAAGTCAGCGGCTTGGATACGTACCCTACTTTGTCTGAATGCGCAGTAGCTTTTATCGGATTTGGTAAGATATATTATTTAAAGCGACTAAACTAACGTGGACATAGCCTGTTTGACATAAGGTTGTTGTTGATGCCTTCACGCCTCCGGTATTTCAGTAGTATCATTTGTGTATCAATTATAAAACTGCTCCCCCACCACCCAAAGCATTAGGAAGGGGTAGGTCATGGTTCATTAACCCCACGATTGCAATGAAAAGCAACGAAATTCTTAGAATTCCTTAGATTTTCTTAACACCGGTTTTCTATGAGGCCGTGATAGTACTCCAGGCGAGTGACCCAGGTGTGCCGAAGCATGGCTATCCCACGGTTTAGATTAATCAAATCGATCAGCTCTCATCTAGTATGCGCTATAGAATCCTGTCTGATGCTCTTCGCATCCAATTTGACTGCCTAAGTGGTGCAGTAGTAATGTTTGCGATCCCTGTGCTGACGTCTCGGGTTCGATTCCCGGGTCGGACCAAATGTTTGTATCATTTGCAAATATTTGTTTCGGAGTTTGGGTGTTTTCTATGTATAATATATTTACAAAACAACTATATAAGTATTGTATCAATCAATCTAGCTTTCATAGTAAAAGCTCTGCTTAGTTTGAAACTAGATTTCATTGTGTTAGATGTTCGAAAAAAAAAGACCGAAATTTTGTTCCGGTTTCCTCCCCCGCCCCCCTCCACTCTTGCACATCTCTCATTAATAGCAAAAAAAAGACGCGTAAATTGCACATGTCCTTGCAGTGCACAATAGGCACTACAATACAAATGACAGTCTCAGGAGAAAGTTCTATAAATATTAAATAATTGAGATTCATTGGTTACAGTTGTGCAAATATATCTTCTGCTACTGGTCCACAGCGAGTTAAACAAGTTAAGGTATCAAGAACGAAGATCAAGCTTTGTCAATCACATGGCTGAGGTATTTATTGAGCATCCCTACAGACACGATAGGAGAACTTTATTATAGATCAGGAAATAGAGTCTCTGTTTTCTACCGTTTCTTCCGAACAGCATATTAACTTGTTATTCTACCTTTTCTTTTCTTTCTTCTTCTTTTGCCTGTTCACGTTCTTCTTACTCTTGTCAATAATATTAACAAAAGATTTTCAAAGTAATTATTTAAATTGACAATTTAAATGGCTTCTATACAATAAGTGTATTCGTATTGTTTTGTTACTTGAACTGAAAAAATAAATAAACAAAGTTATTTTGTTCTAACCCGTATGTAAATAAAATATATTTTTAATACAGTTAATCATAGTATTACTTTAACTTAGTATCCTATCCTAAAACCTATATTTCTAAGTCTAAGATTAGGTGGCGACTGCGTACAGAAGGACAGAGCGTGGGTAGACCCGCACTAGGTGATCTGTCGACCTGATTAAGGTCGCAGGAAGCCTTTGGATGCGGCAAGCACAGAACTGGTTGTTGTGGTGAACCTAGGGGGACGCCAGCACGGGTTTTTCTCTCCGCTTCGAGGAGGACCACGTGTGCTGGACGCAGTGGCGGATTAAGGAAATGTACCGCCCCTATGTTCCAAAGTTGTAGTGTCAATTGAAATTGATAAATATCTTTAGTTTTTTTTTTAACATTTCTCATCCTGTGCACGGGCATTTTGTGCATAGGCGTTAATCCACCACTGGCCGGACGTTGCCTAAATAGAGAATGTATCCGAAGGTGGTGCCCGCACCATTGCGGGCAGGCGCTAGGAGCGCATTTCGGATCTCTTAACAACAGCAGTTCCCGGATCCCTCCTTTTACAGGCGCAACGTGGCACACCGTGTGGTTTTAGTCTGTCCGATTCCGACACATCACCCCGCCGCAAACGCCGGTGGAGTGACGGCCCGAAAGGGTTCCCACACGAAAAAAAAAAGCCGTGTGGGTGACACCCGATAGGAACGAAGTTGTGACGATCGAGTAAAACTGATTCGACAAGATTTTAATTACAACGCCATCTATGAAAGCGGCTATTACCTACATATTTTTCAGTTGGTTTCTAATTAAAACAATTTATACATTGGTAAAATCTCCTCGAGAAATGATTTCCTATCTATTCGATAGATGGTGCTGAATGACTGACATAAAAAGTGTCGTTACAACTTTTCGTGAGATTTTTTTCCGTCTAGCCCCCTTTCACAATGCGCGATAAGGAACTTCGTTCCAAAAATGCCTATATCCAGCAGTGGACATCTTTCGGCTAAGATGATGATAGGGTTGGATAAATAGATAGGTTACTTTTTATTGCACACCATGATTAGGAAACATTGTAATAGGCAATCTTTAGTTCGACTATGCAGTATGGTTTTATTAGGGTTTTGTTATATGAAGGTCATGATAAAAAATTAAATAGAAAGATAATTTAGGCAATAAGACTCCGGAGTCAAGAGTATGTGAAGCTAAGACTAAAAATCACCCCCCAAAAGTAATACGTTACGGCCCGATCGAATCTTGATGAATCAGGCCGCTACCCTATCATCGATCGCAGGTCCCCACACCCTAGCGGCCCGCGGTCCTGACGGAAAAATAAGATAAAGTATACCTAGACACATACTATATGATTGGGTGATGAGCACGATCCTTTCGTTGTCTGGGTTACGTACGACCTCTGGTTTAACAATAAGGATCATTAACCATTAAAAAGTTCGGCCTCTCTATTATTTAAATATTCTATAATCAATGATTGTAAAGATCGGAAACTGTAAATACTCTGGAATCCACAGAAAAAAAGATTTCAGAAGAGTCGCCGCTCAGTTTATAAGATGCTTCCAAAAATAAAAATAAATATTTTAGAGGGGGATTTAACTGTGAGGCCAAAAAAAAAGTGAAAAATAAGTCGGCAAGTGTTCCCCGAATACTCTGGCAACTAAATGTGACCCGACGTCATAGACTAAAATTTAGTGAAAATTATTAGACTTAGAGATTAAAACTTTACTGAAAACTAAAAAAGTTACAAATTAAATGCATACATTCACATTAAACTTTAAACAAAAAAAAATATTGAGTTATTTGTGTCCTTCGTCTGATGATGCTACGTCAAATAAATAGCTCAGCACTGTGAGTAGTTGAGATGAACTTAGGAAGTTAGTAATTGACTCAATTACATCACCGCTCTGTCTGTCCTGGTGACCAGAGGCCCTAGTCCTAGTTTATGACTCGACACGGTGAGCGCGATCGGCGCTTTGCGATTGGCCCGCGCTGAACTTTACACCAATAACAGCGACGGACGCGGTCATCTAGTAGAAGTGAACTACACTTGTACTAAGCTACCTCTGAAGGGAATATTACTCAAGTATTCGTAGAACATACATCGCTTTCTATTAGGTGAGTTGTATTTCTTATGTTTGTATATAAAAAAATTATGAACGTATGTTTTGCCTATCTATTAACAACGATTCGATGGTGATGATTATTATTCTAAGATTGTGGTTAAATTTAAAATCATTTCTAACTACTTAATATACAAATAATTTTGTTTATGACTTTGTAGGATCATCGAATTCATAAAAATGCTGATAGATATACCTGTATGTAAAAGATGTTGTTTTTGTATACCTTTACGTGGTGGTCTGATAACATGGGGCTATTTTAACCTGGTAAGTTTTTTTTATATTCATTCGAGCTTCATTAACTTTTTGAAAATTATGTTCGGTGTGCCTGTTGTGGCTATTAATGCGGTATCGTAAAAGGTACTCCGTGGTTACAGGATGACCGCTGACCGTCACCACAGGCTACTTAATTTTAATAGAAATTTGTTATGTTCGATTCCCGCTTAAGTCAAACATTTGCGTGCAGTACATTTAATGTTTGATTTGGTCTGGGTGTTTCTAAGTTATACGTATTTATATCAGTTGTTTAGTACCCATAGTACAAACTCTGCTTAGTTTGGGAATAGATGACGTTGTGTGAATGTGGTAGCATCTTATTATTATTGATAGCGTTAATATACATAACAGTGGCAACTCAAAAGACTATATTTGACACAATGCCATCTAGTTTCAAACTAAGCAGAGCTTGTACTATAAATGTTAGATTGACTGATAGAATACTTTTTTTTTGTAAATACATACAGAGAAAACACCCAAACTCCGAAATCAAGAACCAATGTTAAAATTCACCAAACAAAATAACCAGACAGTATCTTACCTTACTGTCTGTCTGTGGTTATTTTGTTTGGTGAATTTCAACATTGGTTATTAGTTTCGGAGTCTCAGAGAACCTTATTCTGGTTCTACACATAACTATAAATAATACTGAAAAACTTGTTTATTGGCGTACATCATTTGAAATTGGCTGAACCGAGGTTGCTACTCGTACTTTAGATGAATGCAGATTAAATCGACAGAAAGCTCGTCATATTATGGTGTAGCTTGGAGGAGATTTCAGTCATCAGAAAATATTTGAATTTATTTCAAATTATCTGAGAATTTTGTTCAGATAATTAAGGTTTAAGAATACAGAGTGTCACCACCCCTATTCATCCCGTGGGTGTCGTCAGAGCCGACTAAGGGAGCAAACTACACACGACAACAGCACTGCAAAGAGACGTCTGGCCAGCGTGGTATAGTAGGCCAAATCCTCCTTTCTAAGGAGAGGCCTATATCCAACAGTGGACTATTAAAGGCTGTTGATGATGATGATGATGATGAATTTAGGTTTAACGCATAAACGAATCGAAAGATCCACTACACGGCTTATCTAAATTATTATCTTTTACCTACCTAATTCAGTCCTTTAATTTCCCCAAATAATTTAATTCAATTAATACTGTATGCTAATGTACATTTATATATTATGTTTTCCAGTGCGTTGGCTTTCTTTTGTTGACGGGCTCAATATTTGGTATAATAAAAAAAAGAAATGTACCCGAGAGTGAAAAATACAAAATAACAACTGATTTCATTGTGATTATATTTGTGACAATGATCGTGGGAATCCTGGAGATAGTACTGAGCTTAATATTCATCGTTGGATGCCATAAGGTGCTTGTATTCCTCTACTTAATAGGCTTTGAGCTTTTAACGACGGATACAAAAATATTATGGACTAGGACTCTTTATGTTTTTGTATCCGTGGTAACGTGGTTAGTGAGTTCTATTTGATAATATGTATGACAGAATCGCCTAAACGCACGGAATTCCTCTTAGTTGACACAAGATCCTCATACTAAACCTTCCGAGATGTCTTTAATTTTTAATAGATCTTATTGTAGTAAAAGTTCAATATTTTTTAAAATAGTATAACTAAAGCACGGGTAAGAAATATTCTAATCAAATATAACAATAAAATTAGTGTAAAAAGACAAAAAATTGCACTAAGCTGCTGTTAGGTGCTTTGGGATTAAAAGAAAAGTTACATTTTTTTAGCAAAAAATGTGTGTTTATAAACTATGAATAACACATCAACCCTATTATATAGTATTTCAGTATTTCTGTGCTATTCACTAACTGGCACTAGCGACTTTGAAAGCACTGCCTTTGTAGTATAGTACCGTACGCGACTGCACTCCATGAACAAAATGTTATAGGGTTTTTCTGAGAGGAAAAATAGCCTAAGTTACTCCTTCGATAGTTAAATGATATCAAAACCAAAACCAGAACAAACAGACAGATAGATAAACAGACATAAAAAAAAATAATGAAACTGGTTTTTAGGCACAGGTAGCGTGCAAATAAGCGTGTGAGCATGATATTGCAAACAGACACTTCAATTTTATTTATTTGTATAGATGTAGATAATTTGTACGCCATTCAGAGATTCCAAATTTCATTTCTCAACAAAAATAATGACGACCTATGTTTACCATGCTGACAACTAAATAAATTGAAATGAAATGCATGTAATTTACAAAACCAATTGAGTAAAAACGCTTTCATCATAAAATAAAGTCTCCAATAATATTAGGAGGTTTAAAAAATGATCATTTTGTTTTCTTTTTCCAGAAAAATGTGAAACTGATAAAAACGTTTTACTATTACAACATATTGTTATTAGGCTTGACGTCAATTCTAACAGTATACGGTGGCATTTCGGCGGTGATATATACTGTAGATGGATTCAAACGCGGTTTGAATGCAAATTTCTTGATGTACTTCCTATCGATAGATATTGGACTACTCCTTGCAAATTTTGGTAAGAATGTAACGTTTTTTTTAATTATTTCACATCACATCATTAATAATAGCCTTTAATAGTCTACTGCTGGACATAGGTCTCTCCTTACAAATGAGGTTTCGGCCTACTATACCACGCTGGCCAGACGGGTTGGTATAGGGTTTGTGTCAAGTTTTCCTTCTTTTTGCAGTGCTGGTGTCCTGCGTTGTTTTGCGCCCTTAGTCGGCTCTTACGACACCCACGGGATGAATTGGGGTAGTGACATTCGGCACACGGACAATCAATTTAATTATTTATTCCTCCTAAATTTTATGCAAAAGCGTCTTATAATTAATACTTTGTTTCAGCTCTACAGCTATACATTTTGTTGGTAGTAAGGAGTGAAATTATAAAACTTAGCAGTGATTGTCAATTTAGATTTGCGAATATTGGAAGCGAAGCCGAATGTACCATGACAATTGAAGGTTTGACTAAAGAGAACAGGGTGCAGAACATACATGCTAACCCAGTGATAACAAAAGGCTCTGAAATAAAAGGATTAGTTGGAAGAGAAGATAATGTCAATTAGATATAAAATAAAAAGAAGGTTGTGTATAATGACGAACAACTTTGAATCATTGAATACATTTCATCTGCTACATTCCACAGATGTACTGTAATCTAAAAGTAAAAATGCTTCCTAATTTTTGTGTTTGTTGTTCGTTTAACGCACTTGTGTTTGAAGTAATAAGATTTCTGCGGTCGATAAATAATATTCTGTAATATTAATAATATATTTTAGACGCATTAGCTTCGGAGATAAGTTGGTGCTGTTTCCTAATTCGAAACTCACGGTATATTTTGCCCTTATTTAAAAAAAAAAGTTGTATTAATCAGACATCCAGGCCCATAGTGTTAGTATTACGAACAACTTAATAACTATGTTAAAAAATAATTTGAAAAACTAAACGTGGAAGAGTACCTTGTATACAATGGGAAGTTCCACTAAGCCACATTGGGACTAATCCCACCCACACGCCCACCACTGTAACTCCTGTACACCAGGATCTACAGCAGTGACCTACGAACACACCGAGTTATGGCACTCGGGAAGTCCCAGGAAGAAATTAAACATGTTACACATGCCACATGTAACACATGCAGCCTAGTAAATCCCACCCTGACAGGCCCATCCACCCTTTCTGCAAATACACTCAGAATGCCGTTGGTGCTCATCCCGACTTTGCGTATAATGGATGCTACCTTCTTACGCATTATCGCGTAGTAGTCATCAATGTGTGCATCAGCGAACATGCCTGATGCACTGATATACGCCAGAAGCCTCAACAACGCCCTGAAGGCATTTTTGTATTGTATACGCAGACCAATGTCCGATTACTAACTTTTAAACTTTCGCGTTCCATGATAATTAATATTATTTAACGGGAATTAACGCGATCTCTTATTTAGGGTATTACATACCTCTGGTTTGCCTGACGTTTCGACCAGGTTGCACCGGCCGTGGTCACAGGCTGACTGGAGTCAGCCTGTGACCACGGCAGACCAGGCAAACCAGAGGTATGTAATACCCTAAATAAGAGATCGCGTTAATTCCCGTTAAATAATATTAATTATCAATGTCCGATTTTTATGTATGATTAAACCAAAGACTACTGGTGTAAAATGTTTGGCAATATGCCTTGAACAACGTTATTTTAACAAGTACAGAGCAACCAGCAAACCTTCGAGCTACCATGTTTTCCTCACAGCCAGCCTGCGTTCCCTATCAAGGCATCCCTCAAGTCCTCGGTCACAATGTGACCCAGATATTTAAACTGACTTACTCTATTTAGAGGTGAGCCATTACGGTATAATCGGAGGGACATCGGTAGGGTTCTTATAACTACCTCTGAATATCAACAGTTCACTTTTCTTAATATTAAATTTTAACCCATGTTGTTTTACATAATTTTCACAAATTAACAGCAACTTTTTTATTCTACATATTGATGGTTTTAAAATTACCTCATCGTCTGCATTATTTATGTTATTTAAACATGTTCCATCTATATGGCAACCAACATGAGTGCTGTTGAGCTCAAGAAGCAAATTATTAATGTAGATATTAAAAAAATGTAGATATTAAAAAGGTAAGGCCTCCCTGCCTAACAACTCACTCCAGTGTAAATGAATCAGATTAACTAGGTGACCACTCTACAAAGTTTCTTTGGCTGTTATGCGGTACCTCCAAATGGTCTACCTTTACAGATACCGGCTGCCGTTTTGCCTTATCGTCTTTTATTATACTAATTTATCTTAAGCTTGTTCCGTTTGAAAAAGATTTTCTTTATTCCCAGGATAAGTTTTTTTTGTAGTTTACGTGGGCAAATGTCTACTCGTTCACCTGTCACCTGATGATACATGACTACATGCAATTCGATAGTCTCAAGTGCGTTACCACGTTTTGAGTAATCTCTCGCCTTAGAACAAGGGGAGCCAGAGCCTAAATGTCCCCTGTTTGGGATCCGGTAATCTCATTCACACAGTGAAAAAGCACCTAAAGAAATACTTAACACTGGTTTTCTGCAAGGCCGTGGTGTCTGTCGCTCCAGTCCAGTCAGCCCATTTGTGAACGTATAAATTGGCAATAATAATTGGCAGATAGCCACCCCTCACATTGAGCCAAACCCAAGTCATATTACAAAAATGCCAGAAGAAGATGATTCTGTTCTTAGTATAATTTTTATAAACAACATATTTTAGCCTCCAGCTATCTCGTAATAAGCTGACATAGTACAATAATAAACTTAATATAAGGAAAATACTGCGTACCCAATATTATTGTTTGTTACAATTTAACAATTTGACAAATCAATTAAAGTGGAATTCAAATCCAGGACAAAATGATTTTGGTGGTGAGCACGATAATTTGTTCTGTGTCTGGGTGTAATTTATCTATACTAATATTATAAAGCTGAAGAATTTGTTTGTTTGTTTGTTTGTTTGAACGCGCTAATCTCTGGAACTACTGATCCGATTTGAAAAATTCTTTCAGTGTTAGATAGCCCATTTATCGAGGAAGGCTATAGGCTATATATCATCACGCTAAGACCAATAGGAGCGGAGCACCAATGATGAATGTTTCAAAAACGGAGAAATTTTATTACTATTGAGAGACGCAGACGATGTTGCGCGGGTCAGCTAGTAAACTATATTACTACTACCATAAATTTTACTTACTTATCTATGGGTATGTATGTATTTAATAATCCATTATATATGTAACTTATATATATTTTAATTTTCTTTCCTTACCTAACTTCGAATACACGAGACACTACCCTATATTTTTACCCAATCATGTTTTCTCTCCGTCCAATGGTTGCCTGTAAGAGATTGCCTTTGAGCGATAAGGCCGCCCCTTGTACCTATCTCATTAGTACTAAGTTATTTTTTGTAGTTATCTGGTGTTCAATAAAGAGATTCATTATTATTCTTCTATCATAATTAACACTGTTTTAATGTAAAATTTAGAATTCAAACTAAATTTTAATGCTTGATTTAAGGTACCAGTAGTCATTTTGCCAAGTACATTTTCAAATATTTATTGTTCATTGACTACCAGACAAATTCTGCCTATAAATATTTATGAAAAACACATGTTTTATCAATATTTAACAAAATGAAACAACTCAAACAAGAGTTAAGTAATCCAATTACTAAGCTCTGTATTCTTATCTGGATATATTATTTTATCGATTAAGTAAAGACACTAGTCTACAATATGTGTGTATTTAGAAATATATAAGAATGCAAGTAACAGCAGTTTGGTTGTCATAGCTGCTTAGCTTGGGACACTTTAAATGTGTCACTTTACTTTATTATTTTAGACAGACAAATAAGTTTCTAACAAATAATGTCAATAAAGGTTTTTAATAGTCATTTACATATCAGTCTTCAAAGTAATTATGTTGTCCGTGTCTGAAGATTCTGTAGCAGTGGTTCCAATCTCAACGGAATTTACAGGATCTGTCTTTTCCACCTTATCATGCGTTGCTTTTACTCCATGTACATCAACGTTTTCAACCATTTTATTTGGGATCATGATTTTGATAATGTTGTCATGATCAGCTAATTGGTTTACGAATTCAAATCGCACTTCGGCTGTTTTCTTATGTGCCTTCAGTTCCTTCCTCATGGCAAAGAGTAATACGATGTCCACAACTGAAAAAATGCTTTAAAATTAAACTTGTTGCCGAAACGCCGAAAAATTTGGTAAAACCTTTAGGAGTGTGATCATGAAATCGTACACACAACTTCTAATCACGTCACTTGCACTTTAAAGCAAACAGCTTAGAATTGGCTAATGATAAGGGAACTTTTAAACGGTCAACAATACAGTTACAAAAATTTACATAAGCATTCGAGCTATGAGAGTCTGATTCAAACTATATCAGTTCGTTTGAATAATGACACAATATAAAAGAAGAATAAACAATAAATTGCAGTTCAGGATTGAAGGTAATAAAGTTATTTGTTCGGAAACTGGGCAAGCTGGTACCTACACTCTACCTTGGTTAAACAGCACTCCTGTATCGTTCGTTATTCTGTCACTTTCTGATGGTTATAAGAATTCAATTATGGCATCCACAACTTACACTTTTCATAAAATTTTAGTAGACTTCGGTAATCGTTAAAAAAAAAAGTTTCATACTTACAAAGTAAAGGAATATATGGGCACGCCAACAAAGGTTTGCTGAAGTACACGAAAATGAACCCTATTGCAAGTTTCATAGCGGTTAACAAATAACTGGTGAAATTGTACCAAGATAGGTACACAACTTTTTTCTGAAAATAAAAACTTTTATTATTCTAAAAACTTTATCTTATAGCTTTTTAAAACCTTCAAGAAGAGGCCTGTAACGCACTTGAGTATCAGGCGTAGATACCTAAGTCACTTACGAATAGGTGACTAGATAGTATGACGAACTAGATAGGAACCTACCTTAAAAGATTAGCCGACCTGGATTGCAGGTAAGCTAGGGTAACCTTTTAAAGCAGGTTTCACTAGGTTAGGCGATTAACCCTTAAAAGTTTGCACTTGTATAAAGAAGAGACAACAAATTAATTTAATAGCAAACCAAGCTAAAATGTAAAAGGTTCACTAAACTGGAAATAATCTTTAAAAGAGTATATGTATATTGAATAAAATAAAAGGGTAGGCAGATGATGAGTATATGTACATAGGTAGTAGTGCTATGTATACTCTTTTAAAGTGTATTTCCAGTTTAGTTTTCTAAAGTACATTATTAGTGTATTGCCTACTAGAAGTGAATACTGCATTCGAAACTAGAGACTTGAGGTTAAGCACATCACAATCATGACCATAATCTAAGCCTTGGCATGAAGAATGTGCACAAATATTAACAATACTTAGATAAATACACTTTCAAAGACGAAACTGTTGCACTAAAATGTTAGTAAGTAGCAGGCCGCCTGAAAGCCTGCCTGTATGTCGGTTATCGCGGTAAAAAGTAGCCTATTCCTTCTCCAAGAATCAAAGCCTCTCCATGCCATTTTCATTAAAATCGGTTCAGTGGTTTAGCCGTGAAAGCGTAGCAGACAGAGAGAGAGTTAAAATCGCATTCATGATATTAGTAGGGGTAATTCTAAGGTAGGCCTGGGGGTGACAGGTGAGGCCATCTGTCACCCTAGCAGAAGCAGGCCGGGGTGGCGGCAAGCGCGTTGCGAAGCGCGCTCGCTTCCAGGGAGCACCGGGAACATGGGGTTCCCACACGGGGGGTCGTCTACTCGTCTGTAGATGACCCGAGGTATGTCGGGGTACTAGGGACTTCCTTTCTAGGGTATACCTGGTTCCCCGGCTATTAGTACCCGAGACGGCGTGCGGTTTTAGTCGGTTCGAGTCCGACATGCCACCGACAGGTGGTATCCGAGGGGATTTCCGCACGGAAAAAAAAAAAAAGGGGTAATTCTAAGGTATTTCAATTGTATTCGTTTCTATTTCGAGTTCCATATTACATTCAAATATACTTTAAAATGCAGTGTTGTATGTATTTTTATTTGTAAGACATTTATGAATCCTTTTACTTGGATACCCTACATGATATGGTTTTATACAAAAAAAAATAGTTTAAAAAACTAAAATACAGGCTTTTTTTAGAAAACCAAACTAAAAAATAGAAAATAAATTTTAATAAATTTGAAATGAGCGTGGGTGCTTTATAGTTTTTTAAAACTTTTTTTTTTTTAATTAGTGTATTGTCATCGGTCCTCGATATATCTACAAAGTTTGAGCGAATTCTGACGTTTAAAGTGCGTTTAAAGTCAGTCAAAATCACGCCCAAAGGAGTCGGTTACAAACAAACATACATACATACAAGTGAAGCTAATATAAAGCATGTAAAAAACATTGGCGCTAAATACTGGCTATTTTCATTTTTTCATACCCTAAATACTCATTCACAATAAAGACGAATCTAGCGACACCTCTCCATCCAATACCTATAAAGAGAGAGTTTTGGCTACAGAGGGCGTGCCAAATAATATACAAACAAACATACATGCACTCTTAACTCTGACGCAGTCGGAAAAAAACCAGTCAGCACCCCACGATTTGTGGCTCCACCGCTGGATGGTCATGGAAAAGGACCAAATATCTTTAGTAAAATGTGGGTTGAAATTACCAAGAGAGTATCTGTGTCTATCTTATACCTAATAATAAAATATTAATTTGTCCATAAATTCTACAACGAAACTTTTGAATTGAATTAAATGTCATTTTCATTATTAGGAAGCTACTTAAATACACTGTATTTATCCAGTCCTTTTTTAACCAAATAGATTTATGTGATTTATTTCTGAGGAATTAGTATAGATACATAGGAATGTATGTAATTTATTTTTAATATTTTAAATTCAACATCTGCTTAGTTAATAATTTATTAATATTTCCGCTCTGTCTCATTATTCTCAATGATATGAAACTTAATAATTCAAGTCAAAATTAGTATAGTAAATAAATCTTCAAATATTTACTTTACTGACAGTTTATGAATATTTATGTATGTTTACTCTATATTTCCATTTCTTGAATTTATAAAAACACAAAACTTTCTCTAGTTATTTATTAATATCCTCTCTTTCATCGTCATAAACAGCCTTTAATGGTCCACAGATGGACATAGGCCTCTCCTTAGAAAGGAGGCTTTGACCTACTATACCACGATGAGCAGGCGGGTTGGTATAGGGGCGCTGGCTTCGCCGCCGTGGAGGCTCTCCAGCCGGTCATCGCCGAGTGGGCAGGGCGGCAGCACGGGACCCTTTCCTTCCGGCTGACGCAGGTGCTTTCCGGGCACGGTTGCTTCGGAAAGTACCTGCACTCGGTCGCTAGGAGGGAACTGAGTCCCGCCTGCCACCACTGCGACTGCAGTGAGGACTCGGCCCAGCACACGCTGGCGGTCTGCCCCGCATGGGCGGCGCAGCGCCGGGCCCTCACTGCAGTCATCGGAGTGGATCTCTCGCTACCGGCCGTAGTACGCTCCATGGCCGGTAGCGACAGTTGTTTTACCGCGGTCGCAACCTTCTGCGAGGTAGTAATCTCGCGGAAGGAGGCGGCGGAGAGGGCCCGGGAGGACGACCTCCACTCGGACCCGATCCGCCGCCGGCGGAGGCCCGCCTATCACAGCCTCATGCCGCCCTGAGTGTGGCCGCGGGTGGACGGGGTGGGTTTCCCCTCCACCCGCATTAGTTTGGCCAGCCGCGAGGGGGCGGCGTCCGCGTGTGCCGGACGTCGCCTAAAGAGAGGAAAATATATTGAGACGGAGCCCGCACCAGGAGCGGGCTGGCGCTAGGAGGGGTCCGGATGTCTTAACAACAGCTGTTCCCGGATCCCTCCTGTTACAGGCGCAGAGTGGCACACCGTGTGGTTTTAGTCGGTCCGAGTCCGACACACCACCCCGCCGCAAACCCCGGAGGGGTGACGGTCCGAGGGGATTTCCACACGTTAAAAAAAAAAAAAAAAAAAAAAAAGGGTTTGTGTCAAGTTTTCCTTCTCTTTGCAGTGTTGTTGTCCTGCGTAGTTTATTTTATGTTTTTTTGTATCCTCTCCTTACTCATACGATTTCCTGAAGAGAACTTAACTGTAGGTCAAGCTCGCCTTCGTGTGTGCCATTTTCCTTATGAATAATTTGTGAATGTTTTTTTGTGTACAAAAGAATAACTAGACTTCATTTTAAATACATTAATTGATACCGTATTATTTATACTTGTTATTCTTACTTCCATGTGGTTTTCCTTTAGCATCATACCATAACATTACATTACAAATGTATAAGTAAATACAAAGTAATATGCACTTAATTTCTGATTTAAAAAAGAAATAAAATTTGACTGGTATGCTATTTTAGTTAAAGACAAGTTTTTCCAATATTTGGACTTAGTGGACTTTTGTTAGCAGAAGTTAGTAGCTACAGTTAGCTAAACTTTTATTAAGGCAAGTCCTGGACGAAGATCAAGAGGACCTTTAGACACACCACCACATCGGAATACAAGAATCAGTACAACTATTTGAGAATAATACCAACTTTAGCATCTTGTGTCGTATCACAGATTCCTATCAAACCCCTTATCATCCCACACCCGCACACTAACATCAAAGGTATCGCTTCACGCAACGTAGTGACGAGATTACCACGTGAACCATTGTAAAATCTAGGCCTCTGAAATATAGTTGCTTAGATGACTGCGAAATATTTTAACTTTTTGTATGGTCGCTACCATTTTATCAAGTCTCGTGCAAGTGATTTGGCGTATACTGTATAGTAACTTTATCATTTACTTGTGCTATGAGGTTATATTTAAATATAAGGTTTAAATACATATTTCAGTTGCGTTGACATAGAAGCTTAGATTTTCTTAAAGCCACAAGGGTTCTCTGTTCATTTAAGTATTTATTGTTATTTGACATCTGCACAGATTCTTGAGAATAAGGGTGAATATGAATAATAAAGTGACTCCTAATATATATTTTTTTCTTTAAATACACGGAAACCTAAATATAGTATCAGTAGGTGTGTTAAAAATACGTTACCCCTTCATATCCAGTCACAAATACGGTAGTAGCCATAGATTCCATGATTATCGTAAATATCAGAACAATGATGTAGTTTAAGTCCGCTTTGTATTTCATAATCAAACTGCTGTATAAGAGTACCGTGGCGAAAGCAACTATCTGAAATGTAAAAATAACTTCAAAAAATAAATCTGGACATCAACTGGACTAAAAGAGGAGGAGCAGAGGATATAACGGAAATCCCACCGAATATCTTGCCAAAGAATTTTATTAATCAATTTTTGAAGAAGAATATGTGACCCTATGCTTCTAATAGTATTAAAAAATAGGCGCAGCTAAGTGATTATAAAATTAAATCCTAATGCTCGTAGTAACTTGAGACGTCTCACACACGGCCGCATGCTTCCGAACGAAGCAAGGTATCTACAATGGCAATCAAAGTGCTAATTAACTGCACGGATGGCGTAGTGGGTTAAGCGCCACACCGCTTCTTACTACGCTCAGTGTTGTGGGTTCGATCCCCAAATGGGACGACACATTGTGTGATCCACAAATTGCTTTTCTGAGTCTGGGTGTTCTTTGTGTCCCTTTCATGTATGTTTGTAAAGTCCCCCGCGACACAGGATACATTGCTAACGCGGGAGTTGTCTTTTTTTTTAATACTTTTTTTTAATTAAGTTACTACATACATTAACTGACGCAGATACAGAACTCATCACATAATTACATCACCAAGGTTGGAATCGAACCTTGAGCTCAGCAGTCAGGGTCTCTAACCACAAAACTAACTGGCTCAACTTAAGAAAATTAAAACAATAAATCATAGAAATCCTATTATTTCGGCGCTGACGGGATCATTTTTGTTTGATTGAGAAAAAGATGAGAAATTATTAATTTGCTTTTCACCGAGTGGAAGATTCTAGAATTAGGGGTGGGGGAGAGGTGTCCTCCCCCCTAATTCTAGAGAGGGTAAGCAAAGGCGAGCAACGGACGTGTGTCTTTTGAGTTGCAGTTTGCTCGTTTAGTTCCGACTTGTAAAAATATCTAAAAGGATTTACTTGCAGAAATAAATATCATTTCATAGTTCGAACTGTAACTGTTCCCACGGGTAGGTTATTTGCACAAAATCTATGAACCCACCAATTCAATGGTATATTATACGTACTAATGATTCAAAATATCAAAATATATGCTTACCAGTTTCAAATATCCAAATGCTAAAGAAATGGAATTGGAAAACATTCCAAGAACTCTCAACTTTCCGTAATTCATTTTGTTGCTCTTATTTTCACTTGCTTCTATAAGAACTGAAACTAAAAACCGAGTTAAAGTTTATATTGCGAACACTTACACGGTAATAAAAAATACTCGTATTTTAAGTAAAATTTATAAAAAAAAATCTTAACACAAAAGTAGCAAGACTAAGGTAAAGTATTTCCTACTGCGATTACATTTATTATATTTCCTGTGTATCTGATCGTTTAATAATTACTTATTATTATAATAAGATTTGTTAAAAAATTCAAGTTCTACATCTAAATCTTAAGAGCAATTTTAATTAATTTTGAAACTCTAAAAAAACATAGACTGTGATAGGTACAAGATTAACACCTAAAACTAGAAACGGTATTTTTTCATTATACACTTACTCCTGTTCGGACATAAAACAAAATACACCTATTCACTTCAAATATTTAATTCAAACTGATATATTAGCTGTCCATAAGAGTGTCACGATGTTATTCATGTTTATTAATATAGTAACAATGAAGGAAATTCATGGCTAATATACAGATATCACTTAAGGAAACACACATAGTATGGTGGTTTCAAACTGATTGATATTAACCTTAGTCATGTATTTAATGTTATTAGTACGCTGAAGAAGAAAACTTAAAGACCTCCTACAATTTGTCTGATACCTTGAGTATGTTAATTCATAAACATCATCATCTACAACCTGTAACAGTCCATTGCTGGATATAGGTCTCTCCTTAGAAAGGAAGTTTTGGCCTACTATACCACGCTGGCCAGACGGGTTGATATAGGGTTTGTGTCAAGTTTTCCTTCTCTTTGCAGTGCTGTTGTCCTGCGTAGTTTGCTCCCTTAGTCGGCTCTTACGACACCCACGGGATGAATAGGGGTGGTGACATTCCGTATTCTTCCGTCACCACACGGACTCGATGTTAATTATTATAATATAATATACCTTACACACGGTCGTCTGATCCCAGACTAGGCATAGCCTATGCTATGGTAACCAGACCGCTGATAAACATACTTATATATTTCTTAAATACAAGGGATAACAATTATAGGGCTCTCAAAGCACCCTACAGAAATCTAAAAAAATAAAACTAATATTAAAACCTTATTGGCAATTGTCCTGAAATATTTACCTAGTTCATGGTAGCTGAAAGTTCACGACTACTGACAAGATGTTTGAGCTAAACACTGAAAATATAGGCGTGGATACTGTACACAACATAAGAGCGCCGAGATTGAATCGAATTTGGGCGCCTGTCAAATATAAGTAAAAATAACACAATTATGTGATAATTGTATTGGCTGTATACCTAAATGCTACTTAATTTAGATGTCAATAAGTCTGATTCTGTCACATTGTCTGATTTGCAATATAGTGACAATGACAAGATTTAACAAAATTCTTAAGAATCACTAAGTGATCCTTAAGCATCTATTAAATATAAGAAACAGACCAATTATCTATTTGCCTATTAATGAGGTCCTATTTGCATTACTAAATAAGTGTAATTAGTTAATAACTGTATAGGTCAGTCATTGCTTGGTTTTAGTCCTTTACGATACTTTAGCCAAGTAAGATTTACTACAAAGTTTCTGCTCATTTTTATTCAAACTCAAAGTATAATATCTTGGCTATAAGTAATCACGTTCGCTATAAGAAATATTGCGTTTAGCAGGCTGTCAAGATGCGTACAGATGTGCCAGTGTTCCAAAGATGTTGTTTCTGTCTACCACTTAGATGTGGTTTGTTGGTTTGGGGATATTTTAAGTTGGTAAGTGTGTTTTAATAGTATTGATATCTTAAAGATCTGCCTTTGAAGTTGCCTGGCTCACGGGCGGATAATTTTTCATTTTCGTTTCTAAGCGGTTTTTTAGATACTGTGTACGTTGACTTATGATAGTCTTCATATTAAATAGTAATACTAAAATGTATGACAGTAATTAAAGTTATAAAAGACAACTCCCGCACTAGGAATGTGTCCTGTGTCCAAATCACACAGTGTCGTCCCATGTGGTGATCGGACCCACAACACACTCAGCGCAGTAGGAAACCGCTTAAACCACTATGCCATCCGTGCAGTCTGATACGGTGTATCTGACTGCACGTATCTTAAGATACGGTGCTATCTACGTAATATACATAGTTTGTTGACAGAAAAGCAAGCAAATTAAATGTATGTTTTTATATTTACAAATATAAATCTTAATAAATAAATCAAAAAAAAACTAAAAAAATAAATCAAAAATAAAACAAAATCTCAAGTCTCAATCAAGTATCAAAAAAAAAAAAAAAGAATTCAGTAATAAAAATAGAAGAGTGTACTTACCATCTGGATGCCGCATCTAGTTAATAATTTCAAGTTACATCTTTGGTTCAGTTGCTTGGATTCCCATTGTTTTCTGTGTTCGAGTGTTTTGCAAATTCGTAATCTTACGCAAAATATATTTGACTACCCACTTTTATTTTATATTATATTCAAACGCTCATTGGATTTATTTTGTTTACTTTTATGTATGTTTTCTCAGTAAGTGAATTTTGTAAATTCTTTTGAGAAATAAAGATTCTTAAACCAGAAAGCATACTTAAGACTATATAGCGACATAAATTCTTCTAGTCTTCTAATCGTACTCAGAACTTAAAAGTATATTTATTATAGAGAGTATATTTTTTTAAATTATAACAGTCTTGTTTCATAAGCCTTTACTTCTACGATCATAGAATACTAATATATATATCGATACTTGCCATTAAAGAGTACATTCATCTTATTTAATAATTAAAAACAATTGATATTTGAAATGAATTCTTAAAAAATTACGTCAAAAATTGATAAACTTTTGTCAAAAACTAAACATAGTGTTTATCGGACCAAATGTATGTAAGATCTGCAAATATTGGTTTTGGAGTTTGGGCGTTTATTATTTATGTATGATTATGCACATATATATTTACAAAAAAATCTAAGTATTCTATCAGTCAATCTAACTTTCATAGTACCTACAAGCTCTGCTTTGTTTGAAACTAGATGGCGTTGTGTGTCAGATGTCCGAATGTATTTTTATTTTTGTAATCTTAATGTAAACCTATGATTTACACCGTGTTTATCCGTGTGGTAGGTAACGGATTAAAAATAGGTAGTGTCACCACCCCTATTCATCCCGTACGAGCCGATTAAGGGAGAAAACTACGCAGAACAACGGCACTGGAAAGAGAACGAAAACTTGACACAACCCCAAAAGGAACCCGTCTAACCAACGTGGTAGAGTAGGCCAAAACCTTCTTTCTGAGGAGATGCCTATGTCAAGAAGTGGAGTTTTAAAGGCTGTTGGTGCGATGTTCTACACTTAAAGATTAAAATCTATTTAACTATTAAAGATCAAAATGTATTTTAACATTTTGGTCTTGAATATGATCATCACAATTAAATAACATTTTTTTTCAGATAACAGCTTCTTTATTACTAGGTTATTACAGTTCTCTTCTACACTATGGTATAAACCTATTTGTTGTACATAAAGAAACCACATTAATTAAAGAAATTGTAATTAACTCTGGTATGGTATCGACGCTGGTTATAGATACCGTATTACACGCTATCTTTATAATTGGAGCTCATAAGGTCAGTTTAACTTTAATCTAGTCCCACTTACTGTTATAATCCATACTAATTTGTTGTAGTATGGATATCCATACTACAACAAATTAGTATGGATTATGGTATGGACATATGTCTATATTAGTATGGACATATGTCCATACTAATTTTATTAATGCGAAAGTTTGTCTGTCTGTTACCTCTTTATGTTTAAACCTGATCCGATTTAGATTAAATTTGGTAAATATATAGTTTAAGCCTCAGGAATGGACATAGGATAGTTTGTATCTCAGAAATCATCCTTTAAGGAGGTTAAAGTTTGTATGGGGAATTAATAACCGCTGAACCAATTTAGTCCGTAATTAGGTCCGTGTGGTGACGGATTAAGAATACAGAGTGTCACCACCCCTATTCATCCCGTGGGTGTCGTAAGAGCCGACTAAGGGAAAAAAACTACTCAAAACAACAGCACTTCAGAGAGAAGGAAAACTTGACACAAATCCTATACCAACCCGTCTGGTCAGCGTGGTATAGTAGGCCAAAACCACCTTTGTAAGGAGAGGCTTATGTCCAGCAGTGGACTATTAAAGGCTGTTGATGTACCAATTTAGATGTAATTTGGTATGGAGATAGTTGATTCCTGAGAAAGGACATAGGCTAGGTTTTTTACCAGGATAACCGACATATAAGCTTGATAATATTATCTTCTTTAATACAACTTCAAAATGTATAACTAAAACATATTTACCAGTATTTTTTATGCCCATTCAATAATATGTCTAATTGCTATGCACTAGAGCTTAATTAACGTTCTCCTTATCTAACACACGTCACAGGCTAAACTTTTGAGTTTCACAAGCTAAGAACTGATAATACCTATTTGTGTATGTCGTTGCCAGATCTTAAAATTGATCATTTTATGATGTTTCCGACTATTTCATGAAATGGACGTATTTCACGTTATAATTAGAATTAGCTATATACTCGTGTGCTGTACGTTTCCACGTTTGTTCTTATCATCATCATCATCAGCCTATCGCAGTCCACTGCTTTACATAGGCCTCTCCCATTGCACGCCACTTAGATCGATTTTGGGCTTCTCGCATCCAGCTCCTGCCAGCCATCTTACGCAAATCGTCACTCCACCTGGCCTGTGGGCGTCCTACACTACGTTTACCGAGACGCGGTCTCCACTCAAGAACTCGTTTTCCCCAACGGTTGTCGGTTCTGCGGCTAATATGGCCAGCCCACTGCCACTTCAGTTCTTATCATTAAATATAAAATTTATTTTCACTGCATTTTTATCTTTTATGTGCCGGAATAATTAAGCGCTGCCATGATGTATCTCAAAAATGAAACGTTATCAGTGCTTTAACTGTCAATAATGTAACTACGAGTATTTTACGATTTGAAAGATGACTAGGATGTTTGACCATATTAGAAAGTAATCATGGGTTTAAATGTACTCACCATCAAAATTAAATGATGATGATGATAATATGAAATGAAATGATGATGATGTTTATTTTCTTTGAGCTGACTGAGCCATATTGTGGTTGTCGTGGGAGAGCCATGCTTCGGCAAAAATGAAACTGAAGTGATACCACGGCTTCTATCTAAAGTAATTCTTTCGCTGGTTTTTACTAAACATGGAAGTTATTGCCACTTTTAAATCAAATTCATTTGAAGAATTGATTGGTTTTAGTAACAGTAATTTCACATGTGATTGTAATTTCATCATAAACAAAGATAAATACTATTAAAATCAAATTAACAAAGAATTTAAATTTAGACCTTTCGCGAGCCCTGCGCTATCTAGGTAGCAGTTGTATTCTAAATTAGTCACAATTATGGCTATATGATTTATAAATCATATGTTTTGGAGGACATGATTGTGATTTTATTCCATCACTGCTTTTTACCGAACGAATGAAGTTACCGCAACCTCTATTTAGGGAATGAAAGCCTGGTGATGCACTTGTAGCTCTTGAGTTGTAGGTGTCCATGGGTGGTAGTAGTTACTTACGTGAAGAGTCTGCTCGTCTGCCAACTATTCAATAAAAAAAGAGAACAGGCATTTCCCACCTCATAAAATACAAATATTTCATTGAATGGTCGGACATAACGTTAAGAAGTCGATTTTAAGATTTGACAGCGACATATTAATATATTCAGTGAACCAACGACACTCTACTGTATAGGTGGCAATAAAATTTACAGCTTTAATGAGGTAATACATTTTTTTTATATATTTTTTTCTTGTTTTCAGAGACATGTTTCGTTTTTAAAGGTCTACTATTTCTGCGCTTTAACTTTGTTGGTATTAACAATTCTATTAGGAATAGTGAACATTGATTTGATGATAAAAAATATGGTAAACCATGGCGCCGAGCACCTTGGGAATTTATTTGTTATGAAAACAACTGCTATGTTTATTAATTTACGTAAGTATTCAAAATACGTCTTTAACACTACTCAAATCGAGTTGTCTTAGATTACTAGCAATTAAAAATACATAATAATTATGTTTTTAAAATGTGATTAAAAATTAAGAATCTTCCAAAATTGTATCATCATGTCAATACTGTTCAGCAATTTATGTTGTTTTATTTTTTCAGTTATCCAGGCCCACATCATACTCCTTGTTAGAAGTGAAATTGACAACCTTAAGGTAATGGGTTCAGCTGAATCTGAAGTAACATTGCAATGTGAAAGCTTATTGATCAGAAAAGAGAAGTCAATTGATCAAGAAACAAACATGGTGGAATAAAACTCTTTTTCATTGATATGATTATTTAATCGATATTGTGATTCAAGTTCCATGTTTAATTCATTATCATGAAGTGTAAATAAATAAATATACCTTAATATTACACCTTTAAAGGTTTTGTTTGATGTACAAGGTTTGTGGCAACGCCAAGAACATTCTAAGCATCACCGATAGTCGGCTAGACTGTATGTTCATAAATGACTGTTCCATTGTTATAATTATTAACACAACTTTCGAAAAAATATATATAGGTAGCTCATTCCTTGGGTAAAACGACACCTTTACAATTAATAAAATTGGAACAGTTAGTATACAAGCGCATTGTTATATGTATATGACAAAAACAGGCACATAAGTGATATCTACTAAATAAACCTTTTTAAGAAATAATATGTACACAAGATTTGTTCGTATAAAGTTTGTTTAAAACTTAATAAAAGTAGCTTGTGTTTAGACAATAGTTGATATTTACTACAATTGAAAAAACACAATCCCTATCTATAATACATGTTAAAATTAACTCTTACTATGAGAGAGACGGAGAGAGACACAGACAGAGATAGGAAGATTTAGCGACTACGATGAGGGCTTCCTTTCATTGTCCCTTTTAGGCGTCAAAACAGGTAAGTAATAAAAACAAGGATGAACAATGTGACTATTAGAGTTTTTTTGTCTAGTTTAGTAAATAAAGGGTAAATACAACGAAAAAAAAAGTGCAAGGGTTTAACGTTACAACTAAATACTGCCCAAACAACGGAGTTAGAAAAAGAACCTTGTACACTAGTCGCAACTGACTAACATACATGCACTGGACTTAACCTTTTATGCACATGGGGTCAGAATCATATCAAATTGTATTGTTGTGGTGTATCGGAAGCAGAATGATATACTTGGTCAATTGACGTCACAGAATCTCTGGAATATACCACATCCTGATTTCCCTTTATCTATTTGAAAGAGCGATAGAGATAGACAATAATCGATATATTAAAGCCAAATGCCGTGTCAAATTAAAAAAAAAGCTTTTGAATATTTGAAGATCTGATTAAAATTACATCACCAATATGTATTAATATATACCACGAAAAAATTTGTTCTTTTTTCGAAATAACCAAATGCAATAATGGATTCCATGTGATTGTATTTGTCTATAAGCAATAAAAATCCGACATTTTCTAAAACCCGCTTGCATGTTGTCTCAGTCGCACGTTGCATTCACGCGTCTCTTTTGTACTATCCCAAAATTTTTCATAGTGCATACAAACTAGAAGCAGATGTGTATTATTGACTTTCATTTGCTTGTCTCTAGTAGAGATGGGCGTTTTCGTTAAATTTTGTCATCGATGCGCATCGTTAATCAGTGAACCGCATCCGATGCCGGCATCGTTTTTTCTGGCATCGATTTGATTATGCGATTTTCGATTAGGCAAAATTAGTTGCCGGCTAAAGTGTCTGCGTATGAATATTAGATAGGTATTCGGTAACGTTGCCTTATTGAAATCATTTGATACCTATTTTATAACTTTGTAAATTATTTAGAAATTCAACATTACGACTTCTACTGGTAAAAAGTATAGAGGTTGTAGAATAAACATAAGGTAATTAATATTAGTCTTCACTTTTAACAAAATTAGAGTTTACATTAAGAAAAACCAATTTTTCTAATTTGGAACTTGAAAGACGAGTTCTTCGTTCATTCAAAATATACCCGGCTTTTGAGAATATCCGTTCGCAAATCACAATATTACACCTCGAACGGTATATTTCTGCCAACGTCGGGTATATTTTGGAATGACGGAGCCACCATTCATTGGATCGCTCCACTCCCCGTCAACGTTTTACCGGGGCAAAATTTCGTCTTCCAAGTACAACCGCATCTATCATCAAATCGATGCTTCGACTTGTCATCGCCGCGTTTGCCGTTTCGTAGTCATCTGGCGCCTCTCGCTCGCTCGCATTCGGTGAAGTTCGCATCGGATGTTGCGGGCATCCGTTTTTCAATATATCGGCATCGGATGCCGGCATCGTATACTGGCATCGATGCTTAAAAACGTTTTTACAAAAACGACCATCTCTAGTCTCTAGTCATTTGTTGCAGTCTCTAGTGACGGGTTGCAGTCGTACTGTTCGATAAATACCTTTATTTTCAGTAATTAATTTAAAAGATCTGTGCGATTTGTGTTTGAAATTTAAAGAGAAGAGATGTTTAGGTTTTTTGATGATTCACGAAAGCTACAAAAATGTTGTTTCTACTTTCCCCTTGGACAGGGTTTACGAGCTTGGGGAATTTTTAAATTGGTGAGTTTTTGGTTTTTATTTTTACATTAGTTTAATTTGTTTTTTACATTTTTAATTTAAATTTCGTCTCTCTCTCTCTCTTTAAGAAAGATATCAGAGTGATCATATTGAATTTCACATCATATTGAATTTTGTACACCAAGTAAACAGCAACGATTATAGTTATTTTCGTTTCGTTTTTGTTTTCAACTTACTTGTCAACTTGTTTATTTATCTTCAGTCACGCAGTGCCGCCATTTTGGATATTAACTGGTCTAAAACGACTATATACGTTGAATTTAAAAACCATTCTGTACCCGATTGTCTAAGTCTCGTTCCACGTGGTACTTATTTACAAAAGCGTTTATTAAACTGGAGCACAAGAACGCAAAGAAATTTACGATTTGTCACCCAAAAATGACTTCCATTATCTTTTTATGTAAAAGACAAGTACTACGAATCTTCACAATGATTCGTCTTTTCAATGTAGGTACATTCCTTTAAGCTGTGTATCTGCGTGATCAACGTGGTAGTACTAGAAAGTCAAAACACTGAAGCAATTTTTAGCTTATTAGCACACAAATAATTTTTAATAAATTGAACTATGCATATTATCATTTGCACCGATTATTTCTCTAGTTTACTTAGGTGACTTAATTTTTTTTATTTCCCAACAAAAGCGTTTAGTTTCCAACGAGCACAAAAAATCTTTGTAAATGTCCGTGTGGTGATGGATTAAGAATACGCTGTGTCACCACCCCTATTTATCCCGTGGGTGTCAACAGCAATGCAAAGAGAAGGAAAACATGAAACAAACCCTGTACCAACCCGTCTGGCCAACGTTGTACAGTAGGCCAAAACCTCCTTTCTAAAGAGAGGCCTATGACCAGCAGTGGACTATTAAAGGCTGTTGATGTGATCATGTGAAGTGCATTTCTTACTACCTGTATTGTGACTATGACAAAAATGTTACTTAACTTAATTATATATTACTTAATATACAGGTGTATTTTGTCAAATTAGCAATTATTGTAATCGATGTTCTTCAAACGATAAGAACGGTGCTGATAACAACTAATAAGTTAATGACTTACGATTCATTAAATTATGGCTTAAGTGCAGTCCAAGATTTGTGTAGTTATTCTGTGTATTCAACTGGTTTTGTTAAAAATATGGGAAATAATAATAAATTAGCACAAATAGCACACGGTCGTCTGATTCCAAACTAGGCAGAGCACAGACACAGACGAATCATCGTGCTCATCATACAATTATTTGTCCTGGTTGGAAATAGATACTACCATGACACATAGGTACTATAAATTCCTATACGTATTTCATAAATTTCAAAGTTTGGATGAATTGATGAATGTTTGTTACTCAAATACGCTAAGTTACTCTAGATCACACAAAGTGTTGTCCCGTGTGGGGATCGGACTCAGCGCAGTAGGAAGTAGAACTACTACGCCATCTGTTCAGTCAAAAACTATTATAGTCTAGAATAGGACATAGACTACTTTTATCTACTAGGAAAAATTATGTAATGGTAAAATCGAATATCACGCGAGTGAAAAGCTAATAAACAATAATTAGATAAAAAATAAATATATAACATATTTTATTTTTTGTTTATTTTCAGGTGGTAACCTTGGCGCTGCTCTTCTTTTTCCCAATACACTTAAAACAATTAGTAGAAACATATTATTATACCCTAGGTCAAGATGATGCAGTAATTAAGCACATTATAGTGGCCAGTTTAGTACTGGTGGCGCTGATTGTGGACTCTGTATTCCAATTTTACTTCATGGTTGGAGTTTTTAAGGTCAGTATTATTTAATGCTCACTCATTTTCATATCCTCATACTCAGTCACACGCACTCATGCTCACTCGCACTCAATTATAATCAATCACACTCATAGCTAAGTAGGTACTAATCCTCATATTCATAACAATAGTAATAATATACCTCACACATCTCACACACGGCCGTCTGATCTCAAACTAGGCAGAGCCTGTGCTATGGTAACCAGACTGCTGATTAATATACTTATATATTTCTAAATACATACATATTATAGATAAATAACACCCAGACACAGAACAAATGACCGTGCTCATCACACATTATTTGTCCTGGGTGGGAATTGAACCCACGACCTCCGACTTAGCAGTCAGGGTCACTAACCACTAGACCAACAGGCCCGTATGATAAATAAATATTAAATGATAATAATAATAAATATTGTACATGCACTGTCAGTGAACACAGTAAAAATACTCTTTAAGTTTTTGTCTCAACTAGAGTTCCAAATAATTTTAACATCAGACTTACCACATTCATCATCATCACCATCAAGATCAATAGCATTTAGTAGTCCACTGCTGGACACAGGCCTTTCCTTAGGAAGGAGGATTTGGCCTACTATACCTATTACCACATTCACTGAACACTAATTTGCCATTAATTCAAATTAAAAAACTTTATTTCAGACATAGTCCGTAAAGTTAGTATAAACAAAATAAGTACAAACAATAGTATATACAAAATAACTTAAAGACTAATGTCAGTAAAACTTAATTATTATGGTGTGGATCTTTGCCAAGTGGTGTGGGAGTCCCACCGATCTGTAAACACCTTACATTAGGAGCGAGGAATACATTCCATCAGTATTACAGAAGTCCATAGGCGGCAGCAGTCACTATCAATCAGTGGACTCATCTGCTCGTTAGGCTGTAAAGCATAAAAATAGACAATTTTAAGTAGGACGTCATGGACAATACAGAATTTGCAGTAGCTGTAACTACAAATTTGTTGTAAATTTGTCGATCTAACACAAAAATGGTCAAAAAATGTTTAATACTTATAAATATCTTCATTGACCTTTGTACATTAAACTCGCCCACATTAATCATTATATTTCTGGCCATCCAAAGGTCTGAAAGTCATTTATTTTGCTATAAGAGGGCCAATCGTACATTTCACGTAAATCTTATTTGCTGTTTTATTTTCTTTGGTAAACAATAAACGCCATTAATAAAATTACTGTTATTAGCTATCCTTTACGACCTGAAATAAACAGCATAAGAGAGGGATGTAGGTCATGGTTAAGAGAAAAAGAATCTATTAGTGGGTAATATTAGAGTTTCTTTTTGAACGCAACATGCGATCACGAGCGAAAGTGTTATTTTCAATACAAAGCAGACCTGACTAAATTACTGCCAATTGAGAAGTAAGACGGAAGAAGGACCAAATGTCACTAGATTATCATTACCATGTATCTCGAGATTATGATTTAATAGTCATTTATTATTTTCAGAAAGAAATAATGTATTTAAAGTTTTATGAAACTTATTCTTCAATTCTTCTGTTAACGTTGGCTTTGGCGGATTTTATAACTTGCATTGTATTTACCGCAAGCGAGTTCAGCGAGGATGGTGAAGATGCATATAGCTTCGCAATATTTTTTGCCATATTGATTACTCTTTGTAAGTATACTACTAATCTACATTATTTTTTTGGGCATCGCATCGAGTATACACACAGTACACCATACTGCTCTGAAAATAGTAAAAGATCTCTGCATCCAAATTTTTTAATTCTATTTAGAAATTCTTTCAAATATATTGTACTGGCTATTGTACATGAATTAATCAAATTGTTTATCTAAACAAACAACCTTACATTCAATTTGAATTTTAATCAATTCACGTAATAATGGGCAGCTGTTTGCCTCCAACCAAACATTTTGTTTTAATTGGCAATGGGACAAGTGACACAAGAATTACTCATATGAATGGGATTGGTTGGTCAGCAATGGCTTGAGACAGTCAGGATTTAGCTCAGGGTCAAGCTACAACCAAACTTAAAACCTGAAAGTCCGAGTCATCTAAATAATAAAATCATTTGATTTCAGTTATCCAGTTCTACGTATGTGTACTTGTAAGCCATAACATTAAGGAACTTGAAAGTACACCAGTGGTAGTGTCAGTTTTCGCTAGATTAGAAAACAGTGAAGCCGAAGATGAGTATACCATGAGGATAGAAATCTAGAAATTGCGTAGATTCAGTATATTTCTGGATCTGGAAAATACTGGAGTTTTGGATACTTACATCATCATCAACTTATATAGATGATCATAAACTAGTCAAGCGTAAGTTGGATTTACTCGTAAAGGATTCTGTAATACTTATACCTTTAGTTATGTATTCTTATAAGGTTTCTTGAACTGAGATTCGTTTTAAAAAATGTAAAGGAGAATTGGAGATAAGACTGAATTATTAGTTTCCGTGTACACTTTTCATAACTTATATAATCTGTAAATTCTTAAATGATAAAAAAATTATATATTTTTGTATTTCAATCTAAATCAGTTGTTTTATTTTGAAATTCTACACAGTTTGACCTCTACACTACATAAAATTTATATCTTTCTGTCAAATATTTGTACGTACAATTTTGCACGGATCATAATATATCATCTATAAGAATTCCAGTATTCAATAAGGATTAGACGACAAATTGTCCTGTGTTATTCATCCCTGAAAATCATAAAACTACTTATAACGATTGCTTCTGCTCAATCGACCCACACCGTATTTCTGAAGTGGATTTTTTATGATAATGGGGCAAAAGAGCAGGCAGCTCACCGGTGATGGTAAGGAGTCATGTCACATAGAAAAATCGGTATTAAGTAATTCTTTCGATTCTTTTCACGGAGTGGGTGAGGTGACCCGGAGGTGGGGGGGGGGGGGGGGTTACTGATAATGTTACTGTGAATGTGAGGTTTTTTGGTTTACTAGCAACCGAAATTACTAGTATCCCGTTAACCCCTCCCGCTTAGCTAAATTGCTTGTGTTACACGTCGGTAGTGCACTGGTCAGGATTTGAACCTACGACCTCTGAATCGCAAGTCAATGCCTTAACCACAAGGCGGCGGCAGGTGTCCATGGACGGCATGTGTCCCTTATCATCAGGTGATCTATCTGCTCCTCCTATACCATAAAAAAGTTAAATCAGTCAAAAATACTTTTGACCGCAGCATCATACTGTTATTAATTTATCTAATCCGCATGATTCTCCTAGAAAGGATCTGACGCAACAGTCAAAAGTATTATTGCCCAATGCCGGTTAAATATATTTATGATAGGTCAAAAGTTCTGACTGTAACACTACATACATAAACTTATTTGTTACACGCTTTATATTAGCTTCACTTGTATGTTTGTTTATAACCGACTCCTTTGGGCGTGATTTTGACTGACTTTAAACGGTCAGAAACGTCGTTCAAACTTTGTAGATATATCGAGGACTGATGACAATACACTATATTAAAAAAAAAGAACAAAATATAAAATAGAAAATAAATTTTGATAAATTTGAAAAAGCGCATGGGCGCATTGGGTGCATGTTGTCAACAGTAAAAAGCACCCCACGCTTTTTTTAAATTTATCAAAATTTATTTTCTATTTTTTATTTTGGTTTTCTATAAAAATCGTGTTTTTTAGTTTTTTAAACTATTTTTTTTTACTTAAGCACGAGAAAACAATAGTTTTCCACTAAGTACGTAGGCTAAACCTTAACAATGATAATATGAAGAAGGTGAAGGTAGCGGGAAGCCGTTGGGTTGTTGTGGCAAAATTTAGGGCAGACCAATATCCAGCAGTGGACGTCTTTCGACTGAGAAGAAGAAAAAGAAGAAGACGTAAAGAAGTGAAGCCAAAGCGAGTGAAGGCGGGACGGGATAGTTTGACGTAAGATTTTTAACGTTAACGTTTAAAAAGTTAACACCTTTTAATGGTATCGATGATTATAATAAAGTTACGGACAATGATTTCAATTTATATATACCTACTTGAGAAGAATTTTTTGCATAAAAGTAATTAATTCTAGCTTTGATCAGCCGTGTCAGAAGAGACCTCATTTTTGTGTAAAGTGGCGAATAAGATGCGCCATGAGTTTTAGCAATAATTTTAACGACTATGAGTAGGTGATGACTCTTACACATCCTCAATACCAAATGTTATTTAAGTATTCATTCTTAAAGGGCCTCAAGTCTGCTATTTTATGTTAACGCCAAGCCACGGTTATTCCATTGACACGCTATTGAGATGCCATAGACATCGGTCAAAATATCGGTATTCTACTATCATAAATTCACAGTGTCAATACTACTGTCGATGTAGTAATACAGGTCATCAATGGTGATATCAACAACATTGCCATTTTTGGGAAATCAAATAAATCCTTTTGCTCACAAAGGACAATGGCAGGTCCCCATATATAATTTTATTTGAACTGAAATGTTAGCGTTTAAATATCAAAAAATCCTTAACACTTGAGAATTTATTCTTGACCATTCTCATATCAAAATAACTTGCGAAAGAAGTCTAGGAAAAAAGATATTGGATTTTGAATGTTTCGAGGTTAAGTACTAACATATTGTTAATGTTTTGTTTGAAACTAGATGGTGTTGTGTGTCAGATAGCCGAAAATATTATTTTCATTATTATTACAGTATACGAAATAAAAAAAAATAAAAGCGTAACATCTATTCGAGTTTAACACTAAATTAAACAGAAATAAAATAACAAACGTGGTGAGTCCGGAACTTGACAGGATCTAAACGACGACGTATCGACATTTTGAAAATATCGATGTATGTCTATTTATGTACCGTTATTAATTACAATGTCTTTTTCTCATCACACTGTGTAGTGGAAAATAACGTAACTATATTCTATTTCTTTAGTGTGTTTAAAATCGTTTAAAGAGAGTCAAAAATATTTTAAGTAATTTAAAATTATGTTGATTCAGTCACTTTACCGTACGAGTGAAGACGTGGGCAGAAGCAAATTCATAATCATAAAAGGTGAACCTTCGGTAAATATTTCAGCCAAAGCTATAAGAATCGATTATCGATAAAATTTTCTATAATATAATATTGCTACCACGCATCCCTAGTCAGTTATACGTGATGTCGAATCTGACATTACGTACATAGGTCAAATAAAATCTTCAAAAATATCTTATCTCTTATAAGACTTATACAACACATGGTGGTGTAATGATAAATCATAGAAAAAATATTGATTAAGTTTACTGTGACTCGATTTTTTAAACCCTTAAGTTTTAGGTAAATATGTTTCTGCCATTGTTCTTTAAAATGTACGGTTTACCAAACTATTACAAAAACATCGACGACATTTGTATCAGTGACACGTTATTGGCCATTGGTCTTACATTGTTAGTAGAATAAGAAAAGTGCAAAACTATTCCGACGACATTCCATTGACAGTCTGTTGATATGATATTAAATTCACTCACCCTCCCATCTAAGATTAAGCACTGAACTAATAGAGAATAGAGTTATTATAATAATGAGTCACAATTTTGTATACACACAAATAAATTGAGTAAACTAAAATATCAGTACCCCTGTCTCCCGTCAAAATACATGTTAATACGTACGTCGTAAGAAGGCGACGTCTTGACTGTATTGAACTCTGTCGCTTGCATTCCAACATGTGCTTAGCTGAGTTATGACGTGTTACTGATGAAAAGCTACTGTTTTATTACGGACTCCGTTAAACCTACAGGGTTACTAGATATAGCGCTATCAATGTAAACAGTCCAATGATCTGACTGTTTCCGCTCAGTACAACCGCTAATGATTGTAAAAATGTTTGCCTTGCTAGTATAGACGGAGGTTTTCTCAGTGATAGTCGTGCTAGAAATATTACAAAAAAAGTGCATTTTAGTTGAAAAGCAGTTCCATATTGGTTGAAGTTAGAAGTTCCATATTAGTGTTTTATTAATTTGTTTTTTTATTACTAGTTTGTAGAAGTATATTAAAAGTTATAAGATTAAGGAATAAATAACACGATGCGTACCGAAGTGCCAGTGTTCAAAAGATGTTGTTTCTGTTTACCGCTCAGGCGTAGCTTGATCGCGTGGGGTTATTTTAAGTTGGTGTGTATATCAGTTTAATGATTTCCCTTCCTCCCTTTTTAAGGAAGTGTCTTAATTTTGTTAGTATTTGAAAGTTAGAACGAATAATGCGTTTTTATACATGTTGAAACGGCTGGAAGAATCTGTATTAAAATTTGATAGATTGTTTGTTTTTTTCAAATTAACATATTTTTTCAAATTATATATAATTATATTTGATGTAATTAACCTGTCGGCTTAGACTATGGGTAGTAAAAAATTGTCGAAACGTAATCCAATACAAAGGTATGTACCGAATACCTTTCGTAAGGTGGTAATTTCTGCAATGACATGTTATAATAGACTTAAGTTAAATATATATGGTAATATATATTGTATAAGTTAAATATTAAGGTAAATATGTATGATACTACTTCACGTCGAAACGGCTTGACAGATCAAGATAAGGTACACTAAAGCTAGTTGTTTCTAGTTTTAAAAAAGATAGTAGATTGAAGTAAGATACAGTTGATCTCGTTCTCAGAGCTTTATAGTACGGCCTCCTGTGTATTTCAACAAACTACACCAGTAGAACTGTGCTATATTTACAAGGCTTAGCTATAACGTAACTATAGTGATTTATAAATGTATATATTACTGCATCTCCTGACTTATAAATTTAGATCCTGGTTATTTCTTGTTATTTATTTATTGACAAAACAACATCCTAAATATCGGGCGAAGTCCAGTTTCGGGGCAACTAAGAGGGCAAGGTCAAATTGGCCTCAAAGAAGCTTGGTGTACTTGAACGGTGTACAGTGTACAGATCGAGGCAGTATTACACCGGCCACATATATTATAGATTATTGCTCTCATCTCTATGCAGGGGCACCTTAGTACTAGCTTCTCCCTCTTAACTGCATCCAACGAAGAGTGTCTCAAATCATCGATAGCCTAAAGATTTCCGATCGGCTCGTCCCTTGGCGTTACGAAGCGATGTAGCTGCACTCTTCATTCTCTATCGTCTATATCATGGAGAGTGCTCCGAGGAATTGTTCGGACTAGTACCGGCCGCTACTTTCCGCCATCGTTCCAGACTGAAAAAATTTCATACTCATCATTTGGATGTTGGAGCTCCATCACTTTTTGCCTCGTGCAACTAATCTGTAAAACAAGTTATCGTCGATAAAGGATAATCGAGTGATAAAGGAGAATGGAAGACGAAAACTCTTTGTGCCGACCCCAAATAAATTTGGAAAAAGGGCAAGAATAGTATGATGAATTTTTACAATGGTAAAATGATAATTCGACACACCTTACAGACGGCCGTCTGATCTCTAATAGTTCTTAATCAAATTTCATCACTACATTTTATTCAACTTTTTTAGAGTATATTTTATATTGCCTGAACACTTATAATATTCTGTTCTCTATGTCATTAAGTTTATCTACTCCCGTAACTCTGAGCGATAAGACCGCCGATTGTTACGTATACATATTTGTAACTAATCACTGTAAATGTGTTAACTGTATACAATAAAGACATCAATAAATAATAAATAAATTCTTACGTCAAATGACTGTACTGATATGAATGAAATATGAAAAGGTAAATGCAAGGGAATAATACATTACATTTTATAATATTTTTTATGCTTGTACATTTTTTTGTGTTTGATAAAGGTAATTACATTTCTTCGGAATAGTACACATTTGGTTGCAACATAGGATTCAATGGAAATAGCAAATGGGACCCACCGTTAACGACCAAAAAATCTAATCTAAAACTGGGATCAAGGAAAATAAATCATCTCTTATTAAGTTGAACCTCTGCTACAAGACTGTACGGTGACAAGACTGTTGCTTAACGTACTTATATTATATTTTTAAATACATACATTTTATAGAAAAACTACAACTCTACTCGGCCTGAATGGAATCGAATAAACGATTTCTGACTTAGCGATATGACTTATTTGTCAGTTTTCTATATTAAAAAAGAAGGTGTAACGTATAATGGCTAATCTACTATACAGTCTAATCTTTCTAACATCATGTACACCTTTGTCGAGGATAATGTAGAAAAAATGAATTTTCCTTTTTTTTTTCTCAGTTTATTGCTACCATACTGCTGCTTTATTGCTTCGTGGTACTTTACCGGACCATGAACGTATTATTTCACTTAAAGTATTGGATACAGGAGCTTATAACACTCACTGTGGTATGTGCGATACTGATTGTGGACATCATATTACATATTCTGTTTATCGTTGGAGCCCATAAGGTGAGTTTATTACAAATAATGTTTTAAGGTCATAAGACAGTTTAGCGTTTGATTAATAAATATTTAACATTTTTGGAAATATGAATTGAAGTGGGACCGCTTGCGTAATAAGATGCAAGCCTAAGGCAATAGGCTTGACACTTATTGTATAAGTGGAACTAAAATTTTTATTATTAAATATATAATAAATAAAATTAAATTAAATTATTTTACTACTGTTGGCAAAATGTGGTCTACCTCTAAAAGAGTGCATGTGTGTATAAATTAGGTTTTTTTATTATATCGTTTTTTATATATTTAAACGTTAGTAGATATACATGTGATAAGTTGCTGCAAATAATTTTCGACATTAAAAGAAAAGTATCATAACGTGATTGAATTATTTTGGTAATCATAATTGTTAATTATATTTATGGATTGCCAGTACATTTATTTAATAGAAGATCAAAGATTATAAAAATATTCGTGAATTAGTTTCGACTAACGCTAACATCTATTCTTCAATTCACAAAACCTCCATAATAAAGCGGAATAGTTTTGAGCATTTTTTTATACATGCTAATCTCTGGGAATCCTAGTCAATTATTTAAAACTGTCTTATATTTTTGAATTTTAAGTAAAAACTAGCTTAGATACACATCTTTGTTTGCAACTTTCAAAAGGAGTTAATTTACCCGGTTTTTGCAATATTTTTTATTCTGCATGGCTCCTATTGGTCTTAGGGCGGTGTTATATGGCCTTCAACATATAAACAAACACAAGTTATTAGTCTAGATAATATAGATAGATGGGATAGGTATGTTTAGTTGATTAGAATTTGAACTCACAAAAGTATAATTCGTAATAAACCACGCACATTGGCATAGGCCTCTCCTTTCTAAGGAGAGGCGCCTATGTCCAGCTGTCGACTGTTAAAGGCTGTTGATGATGATGATGGTGTTTGGTATTCGTATTCTGAAAGCAATGTTGCTTTTAGTAGGGAAAAGTAACAATAAATTGACAACATTTTTGAGTCTAGTAACATTTTAACAGCTTGTTAATTTATTATTTTCAGAAAGAAGTTAAATTTTTAAGGGCCTATTACTACTATTCTCTGACTCTGCTGGTGCTGCTATTGCTGCTGGACCTGTACTGGGTTGTTTTAATTATTCAACATAGGATCTACCTGTATATTAATACATTAATATTCTCGGCGATGGCTGTCATGTTTCTTAATTTACGTAAGTAATTCAGTTCGTATTAGCTGTAATCAGACCATATGTAAACAATAAAAAATTATCTACATGTATTATGTGTATGGCGGGGTATGTCTTGTTTTCGTAATAATTTGTCTTGTCTTACAAGGCAAGGCAATTCAAGGAAAGAAATCATTGTGAAATAAATACAATTTTAGAGTTAGAGGTCCCTTTTTGTTGGAGAAGAAAATAATAATTGATTGAATTTTAAATACTCAGTGCGTACATGCCCACCCTTTAATGAGGCCACCTTTTAAGGGGATATAATTTTGTACTAAGATAGTTTGTATGTACTAAATATACAAGTTGTTCTGATACTGACCAACTTAGGGATCAGGTCGAAGGCTTTCCCTGATATGGGACCTAGTTAGGTGCGGCGTCGATCTGGGGGACCTGAAATCACATGGCCCGGGTTCTCCCCAGAGCAGGGCGCCTAAGGCTGGCCGTCGGAGTGGTTTTAAGTGGAATCACCACATACTCCTGGGGCTCCTATATCCCCAAGGAGCCGGAGATCCGAAGGGATTTTCCAATCCGTCAACAAAAAAAAAATGACAATATACGAGTAGCAACTAATTAGTTAGATACAATACAATACAAATACAATACTTAAATTATCAGCCTTGGAACAGAAGGTCAATTCTCGTACCTAATAAAAGTTAGGTCACAATTCAGTTTCGATCAACTCTCATTCTCGCAACTGTCTTAAAGGGTCTGGACATAGGCTCTCCTTAGTGAGGAGGTTTTGGCCTACTATACCACGCTGGCCAGACGGGTTGGTATAGGGTCTGTGTCAAGTTTTCCTTCTCTTTGCAGTGCTGTTGTCCTGCGTAGTTTGCTCCCTCAGTCGGCTTTTACGACACCCACGGGATGAATAGCGGTGGTGACAATGTATTCTTAATCCGTCACCACACGGACGTGACGACGAGTGGATATGTGTAATTTTTTTTTTTATACTATTTTACAGTTACGCAAGCATACGTCATATTACTCGTGAGAAGTGAAATTATCAAACTCAATAACATTGGATCCTTCAGGTTTGTAAATAATGCAGCCGAAGCTGAATGTAAACTATATATTGAACACCCACATGAAGAAATAGTTCAGATAAATGAGGAAAACAATAAAAATGAGAACGAGAAATCAGACACGGACACAGAAGACAACCATGGGAATATCGCTTAAAATATAACAGATTATAAAATAAATATAATTAGGAAATAATTGCGTATAATTAAAATAATTAAGGTCACAAGGGTCAGCCTTACCTACCTTTCCCTTTCTACTAACTCCCATTTCTTCGTCTTTAATTCCCCAAGTACCCGTTAGTAGTATCAAATTACAGTTGGCAAAATATACGGGAAATATGTCTTCTGCTTCAGGGATACAGACGTGAGTGTACTCGTATATGTAGAAGTTAATTAAAAGGATGTTGGTTATTTTTGTGATTCTTATTTACTTAATAAATTTCTACACCGTACGACAAACGAAAATGGGTAATGACCCTGACCTTTGACAACCACAACAACAAAAAAGCCAATGATTTTCTGTATGTCGGATTCGGATTCAGTATGATGGTCTGAATACACTATTTCAGTATGCGTTATGACGTCTGTTACATCCTGTATAATACAGTCTTAATTTACAATATTTTAATATTAAAAACAGGACATGCTTTGGAATTTAAACACTATTGTATGTCCGATTAAAAGTTTTAGGAAATTAAAATGGTTCGATTTAGTTTTTTTTTTATATATAAGGCTATACTTTTCGTTTGGTCCCATTCCAATTCGAAAAAATAGTAAGTTTGGTCCAAAATTAAGGAATGAAGGGCACCTAGTTTATTACAACTCATCATGATGTAGGAGCATTGATTCAATTATAAGTAATAGTAATAATTACTTCTATTGATACCAAAATACTTTTAAATTCAAGTTCTTCCAATCAATTAGGTATATTTTAAGCCAAACTAATCTTTAGCTAGGTAGGAAAGGGTTAGGTTTGTCAGATGCTCTAAATAAAAAAAGGGAAAAATAAGGCTTCCCAATTCGTCAGCGCCGCAGCGCGCAGCACTGACTTCTCTCTTTTCTTTCTTCAACTCTCCATCGTTACCTGAATACCTTCTTACCTTCTACCTTAAATCTTTAGTCAACAAACAATATGTGTCTTCAATGCCCCCCTCATACTCAACTTCATCAACTCCTCCTTTTACGTCCAGTCAGTTCTTCTCTGGAATTCCCTACCACCACCTTGCATTCAAGAGAAAAGTGCGCGATCTTCTTCTCAGTGAATTGGCTGAACAGTTACAACGCTAATACCCGACTGAGTATTTATATACTTTATAAAATTTTATTAAATATATATATATGTAGGTTTTCGTATGTCGGTTTATATATTGTGTATGTCTCGGGACTTCAATTATGTTAAATTTAATATTTTATTTTGCACCTACCGCATCATATTTCTACATCACCTGAAGGTTGACTGGGATAATGCCTCATGGCATTAAGTCCGCCTTTGTACAACATGTGCATTTAATTTAAATAAATAAAAAAGAAAAGAAAAAAAGAAAAATGGGGGTGAAAAAGGTAAGCGAGAGTAATGGAAACTGGAATTCGAAAAACGAGATTTAGACTACACTAGCTCGAAGAAGCTGGTAGCATATCTGTATGTCGGTGCTGTTATTGAAGATACATTAGGGACATAAACTAAAAGATTCTGACTGAAATGACTGCCAATTGAGAAGTAAGACAGAAGAAGGCCCAAATGTTACTAGATTATCATTACCATGTTTCTCGACATTATGTTTCAATAGTCATTTATTATTTTCAGAAAGATATATTGATTGAAATATATAGTTTGTAAATTCCTTAATGATAAAAAATATTTTTTTTTTTCTATTTCTATCTAAATCAGTTGTTTTATTTTGAAACTACTTTGCATATGAACAAAGTTTAAAAAGTTGTGTCACAAAATCCCATGAATCATATCATCAGTAACAGTTACAGTATTCATCAAGGATTAGACGACAAATTGTCCTGTGTTATTCATCCCTGAAAATCATAAAACAACTTATAACGATTGATCACACCGTATTTCTGAAGTGGATTTTTTTATGATAATGGGGGCAAGAGAGCAGCTAAATCTGTGTTATGTAATTCTTTCCCGGAGGTAACCCTCCCAGGGTTACTGATAATGTGACCTCTGATTTGTGTAGGTTTTTTTGTTTTGGTTAACTAGCAACAGAAATTATTAGTATTCTCACTAATCTAAATTACTTGTGTTAGGAGTGGGTTCACATCGGTAGTGTACTGGTCAGGATTCGAACCCACGACCTCTGGATCGCAAGTCAATGCCTTAACCACTAGACTATCACCACTTAATTTGCAGGTGTCCATGGGCGGCGGTAGTCCCTTATCGTAGGGTGACCTGTCTACTCCTCCTATACCATAAAAAAGTTAACAGCGGTGTCAAATCAGTTTGATTTTCTGAAAAGTTTTTTTTATGAATAAATTACAAACACCATTCAAAATAGTATCTTTTGTAAATATTTCTATCTAACAGTCAGATCTCTTAGCCAGTCAGTACTATTATAACCTGCAAAATCAGTCAAAAATACTTTTGATCGCAACACCCTAGTGATATTAATTCATCTAATTCAAATCATTCACCTACAATAGAAAGGATCTGACGCAACAGTCATAACTGTTACTGTACTGTTGCTCAATGCCGGTTAAAAATATTTTGTTAGGTCAAAATTTCTGACTGTGACACATATATAAACTTATTTGTTTTTATTTAAGTATGAGAAAACAATAGGTTACCACTAAGTACATAGGCTAATCCTTAAAAATGATGTAAAGAAGAAGATGAAAGTAGCGGGAAGCCGTTGTATGCGGGCAGAGCAGGACTGGTTATTGTGGCAAAAATTAGGGCAGACCTATGTCCAGCAGTGGACGTCTTTCAACTGAGAAGAAGATGTAAAGAGTGAAGGCGGGATGGTGTTAGTGTGACGTGAGATTTATAAGTAAAAGTTGACACCTTTTAATGCTAGCGATGATCATAATAAAGTTATAAACGATGTTTTCAATTTTATATATACTTGACAAGATATTTTGCATAAAAGTAGTTGATTCTTGCTTTGATCAACCTTGTCAGAAGAGACAGCATTTTTGTGTAAAGTGGCGAATAAGATGCGCCATAAGTTTTAGCAATAATGTTGTCGTCTGTGAGTAGGCGTTGACTCTTACACATCCTCAATACTGAATGATATTAAGGATTCATTCTTACTGGACCTCAATTCTGCTATTGCTATTATGTTAACGCCAAGCCACTGTGATTCCATCGACACGCTTTTGAGATGCCATTGAGATCGGTGGAAATTTCGGTATTCTATTAACATAAATTCACAGTGTCAATAGACTGTCGATGTAGTAATACAGGTCATCAATGGTGATATTAACAACATTGCCATTTCTGGAAAATTAATTATATCTCTTTCTCACAAACTTAAACTGTAGGGTTTACCAAACTATTACAAAGACATCGTCGACATTTGTATCAGTGACAAGTCATTGGGAGGCCATTGTTCTTACATAGTTAGTAGAATAAGAAAAGTGCAAAAAAATTCCATCGACAGTCTGTTGATACAATAGTAAAATAACAGAATTGAGGCACAGAAATCTTTCTGATTTTATTCACTTACTCTCCAATCTAAGAATAAGCAATGAACTTAACTCTTGATAAGTAACACAGTAGAAATGTAAGGACTTGGCTGTATCCCAGAAATCAGGGGACTGTTACTCTTATCACACAATTTTGTGTACACACAAATAAAATGTGTAAACTAAAATATCAGTACCCCTGTGTCGTGTCTCAAAATACATGTTAATACGTTGTAGAATCGCGGCGTCTTGACTGCATTGAACTCTGTCGCCTGCATTCCAACATATGCTTATCTGAGTTCTGACGTGTTAATGATAAAAAGCTACTGTTTTATTATTGATTCCTTTTAACCTACAGGGTTACTAGATATAGCGCTATCAATGTAAACAGTCCAATGATCTGACTGTTTCCACTCAGTATAAGCGCTAATGATTGTAAAAATGTTTGCCTTGCTAGTACAGTAACCAGTTTTCTCAGTGACAGTCGTGCTATAAATATTACAAAAAAAGCGTATTTTTTGTTGAAAAGAAGTTCCATCTTAGTTGAAATTAATCAGTGTTTTAATCATTTGTTTCTTTATTACTAGTTTGTAGAGGTATATTAAAAGTTGGAAGGTTAAGGGATAAATAACACGATGCGTACCGAAGTGCCAGTATTCAAAAGATGTTGTTTCTGCTTACCGCTCAGGCGTAGCTTGATCGCGTGGGGTTATTTCAAGTTGGTGTGTATATCATTTTAATGATTTCCCTTCCTCCCTTTTTAAGTAAGTGTCTTAATTTTGTGAGTTACATTTGAAAGTTAGAACGCATTATACTTTTTTATACTCGTGCATGTTGAAACGGCTTTAAGAATTTACATTAAAATTTGATAGATTGTTTGTTTTTTCAAATTGACATAGAATATATAATTATATTTGCTGGAATTAACCTGTCGGCTTAAACAACGGGTAGTAAAACCTTGTCGTAACGTAAGCCAATCCAAAGGTATGTATCGAATACCTTTCGTAAGGTGGTAATTCCTGCAATGACATGTTGTGACAGACCTAGGTTTTACGTAAATGTATATGTTACTAATTCACGTCGAAACGGCTTCACAGATCAAGATAAGGTACGCTAATAGCTAGTTGTTTATATTTTTGAAGAAGATAGTAGATTGAAGTGAGATAGAGTTGATATCGTTCTCAGAGCTTTATAATACGGCCTCCTGTATATCTAAAAAAGAAAATAAAAAGAAACTACACCAGTAGAACTATCCTATACATACAAGGCTTAGCTATAACGTAACGCTTGTGACTTATAAATGTAAGTATATATTAATGTATCTCCTGATTTATATCCTTAGATCCTGGTTATTTCGGAACATGCTATTTATTTACAAAACAACAGTGTTAATATCGGGCCCAATTGAGAGCATTTAGAGGGTAAGGCCAAATAGACCTCAAAAAAGCTTGGTGTACTTAAACGGTGTACGGTGTACAGATCGAGGCAGTATTTCACTCCGGCCCACCACCTTTAGCTCTATAAAGCGCAAGTCCGGAAGCATGTAGAATATTGCTCTCATCTATATGCCTTAGTACTAGCTTCTCCCTCTTAACTGCATCCAACGAAAAGTGACTCGAATCGTCAATAGCCTAAGATCTCCGATCGGCTCGTCCCTTGGCGTTACGAAGAGACGTAGCTTCACTCTGCATTCTCTATCGTCTATATTATGGAGAGTGTTTCAAGGAATTGTTCGGACTAGTCATCATTAGCCTACCGCAGTCCACTGCTGGACATAGGCCTCTTCTAGACCACGCCACTTAGATCGATTTTGGGACTAGTACCGGCCGCAACTTTCTGCCGAAAAAAATTCATCCCCTTCATTTGGATATTGGCGCTTCAGCGCTTTTTGCCTCGCGCAGTTAATCTGTAGAAAAAGTAATCGTCGGCGGTATTTCTTGACCGTTACGACTTTTAAAATTTTTAAGAGAAGAGCGTACACCTTCCTAAAAGACCGGCAACATGTTTGTCACTCGCGAGTTGCAGGCGTTCATTCAGGCGGTGGTGGTCACTTTCCATCAGGTGACCCGAATGCTTGTTTGCGAACTCTTCTATAAAAAATGCATCATCATCTACCTATCTAATCATCATCATCATCTTACTGTGTACTCCCTTCCTAGCCACATTCTCACTCACACAGTCCATCCACCTTTTCTTTGGTCTTCCTCTTCTCTTGTACCCTTCAACTCCCATACCTAAAACTGTCTTCGCCACTGTCTTTTCCTCATCTTCTTAACTTTTCATCCAGTGACGCTACTTGCAGACTCCCTCGTATATACTCATTTCTTACCTTGTCCATCCGAGTCACAAAACACATCCATCTCAGCATTAAGAGAACGGTCTCTTAATGGGCCAACTTTCAGAACCAAACAGGACGGCAGATGTGATAATAGTTTTATAAATTCGTCCACTGAAGGGACGAATTTATAAAACTAAGGTTAAGGGGAAACTGGGGTCACATATTGTTTCCGTTAGGTGCTGCCACTTCATCCATCCCGTATTGATTCGATAACAAATACATAATATAATATTTAAAAAATATATGTACAGTATATCTAGCCCAGTTCTTATATGTAGACCTATCAAAGGCATGCTTGGCGAAGGTTAACTTAAAACTATTAAACTGAAATTAAACAAATCTGTAAAGTAAGAATGTAGAACAAATATTATGTACTAGATGACCAGCGCAACTTTGTGTTCGTATGCTCACGCGGACTTTTTTTAGAATTTTTGAAGAGGGACAGTACCGTTATACATAATTGTTGTGTACTTGTAACTTTGACAGTTTATGCAGCATACGCAACATAAGTTGTCAAATGAAATAAATTTGACCAGTTTTTGCAACATTTGTCATTCATTCTCCACTCCTAATGGCCGTAGCGTGATGTTATACAGTCTATAGCCTTTCTTGATAAATGTACTATCCACTAAAGGAAGTTTCTCATTCGTACAAGCAGTTAATGACATTAGCTCATTCAACCAAACCAACTAACTCTTCAAAACTTAACAATGTTAGTATCGATATTATCTTGATGTTGATGAAAAAAAGTGCAAAATATTATCCGAACGTTTTTAATAAAAGGTCTTTCTTTACCTATGAAATTGCCGTTTTGTATGCAATAAGTGAAAGTACTTATTTTTGCAAACTTTTTTATTTCTGTTATTCGAAGTAATCACCCATGCAATCGACGCATCTTTGCCAACGCATTGGCAGTTTATTGATGCCCTTCTTGTAAAAATCAGCTGGATGGGAGGCAACAAGCTCTTCAAAGGCATTTTGTACTGCCTCTCGGGTATTGAATTTTTTACCCACTAAAAAGTTGTCTAAATTTTGGAAAAAGTAATAGTCGGTAGGTGCAAGGTCTGGTGGTCACATCTGCAACCAGCTTTGGTCAATCGGTCGTCCCCACTGCGACAGTCTCCAAGCTGCAATAGCTGGGGTTGGAAGCTCTCCCTCATCCGCCATACTCACCAGACCTTGCACCTACCGACTATTACTTTTTCCAAAATTTAGACATCTTTTTAGTGGGTAAAAAATTCAATTTACTTTACTAACTTTACTTCGAATAACAGAAATAAAAAAGTTTGAAAAATAAGTACTTTCACTCATTGCATACAAAACGGCAATTTCATAGGTAAAGACCTAATATTTTATTGTAATTTGAGTTAAAACTTTCGTACCCATTTTAAAAACGATCAAAAGTCAGTAGGACGCAGGAATTCTATTTTAGTTTTGTGTGATTCAATTATATTATTTATGTTCGGGATGTACGTCCGGTGTTTGTGCGTAAAATCCCCGTATACAATGATAAGACTAATGTATCATATGTATTTATATCAGTAAAGAAAACACAACAAATGAATAATCTGTATATAAACCAACCGAACAATACCTACTTATTTCTACTCTTTTGTCAAACAAATTCATTTTTAATGTGATATTAATCGTTAAGCGTTTCCATAAATCTTATTCTTCATCTTTCTATTCTTTATCTTATTATTATTTTAATTTTAAGTTACTAAAAAATAGTTCATAGTTCGAATATTTATTTATTTTTTTTGCTTATGAAAAACATTATTTTTATAATACCTCTACTTTTATTAAATAGAGATGGCGTAAATCAAAACAATTGAACAAAAGATAGTGAAGAAGTGTTATGTATGAAAGTTGACGCAGATACGCGTTGTAAGAGTGACAGATGACCAAAGAAAAAATGTATGGACTGCGTGAAAGAATGTATGGCTAGAAAAGTAAGCAATCAACTGTTGAGTGATAAAGGATAATGGAAGGAGAAACCTCTATGTGTCGACACAAAATAAATTTTGAATAAGGGCAAGAATAGGATGATGAATTTTCACAATTGTAAAATGATTATTCGACACACCTGACAGACGGCCGTCTGATCTCTAATAGTGCCTAACAAAATTTCATCACTACATTTTATTCACTACAGTGATGACCTACGGAACTGAGACGTGGTCTCTTACTATGGGCCTAATCAGAAAGCTCAGAGTCGCTCAGGAGTTACAGTGGTGTGCGTGTCGCTCCCACCCACACGCCCACCACTGTAACTCCTGTACACCAGGATCCACAGCAGTGACCCACGAACACACCGAGTTATGACACTCGGGAAGTCCCAGGAAGAAATTAAACTGTCTTGGAACCCGCAACGAAATTAATCAGAAGAAAATTGGAGGAGTTGGAAATACAGTAAATCCACTTCCCTCCTTAGCAAAGCGGGAGACAAAATGAAGTAAAATAGGCATACACCGTTTTAAACAGGGAAGCACCACGGCCACAAAATATTACGGGTCCTACATGAGCTATATTTGATTTCTATAATATGTATGGCAGAATCGCCTAAACGCACGGAAATTCACCCTAGTTGACACAAGATCCCCATAGTATACCGCCCCAGATGTCACCTGCAAGCTATTCAGCATTATATTACGTTCATTATACCAAAGACTACATTCCCAGAGGATATGATGAGCAGACTGTTCATAATGAGAGTTAGGTGTTGAGCATTGACACAATGGTGACTCGACTAATTTAAATGAATACAACTTGCTCTTAAAGTTACCATGACCCGTAAGAAATTGAGCGACACAGTGATCCACCTCAAGCCATGTCCTCGACAACCGTTCGCGAACAGATGGAAAAAATTGGTAAAGATGGCGCCCCTTGGATGATTCGTCCCAGCGTTGCTGCCATTCGTCTATGAGGTCATTATAGACATCGGACTGCTGTTGAAGCAATCTTCTGTTGCTGCTGAAGTAATTTTACCGCGATCCCGCGCGCCCAAGAAATCGCATTCCATGTTTTGTCTTGAATAGTACATGGCTGCACGTCTCTGCACCTCGAGATCGACCGGAAGGACACCTGCCAACACCGGCAAAGCCTCAGTGCTAACCGTCCTATATGCCTTGCACAAAAATATCAGTGCAAGTCGTTGGCCTTGTAACAGTTTGCGACGGACAGCGCCTACGGTCGCCCTATCGGCCCATACAGGTGCACCATAGCACATAGAACCTAAATAAGTAGCTCCGTATATGATCTTTAATGTATTAAATGATAGACCCCATGTCGCAGTTGATATCCTTGTCAATGCACAGAAACTCTTTTTAGACTTTTCATTAACTATTTTAATATGTTCGATAAATGAAAAGTTTCTTTCTAAAACTAATCCTAGATAACACACTGTGGTTTTATTTTTTACAGTAACATTGTCAAATCTAATGCTCGGCGGTGATTTGAGGTTACCTTTTAAAAGTAACTGGAAGGTTTTGTTGGGTGCAAAAGTTAAGCGATTACGTTCACCCCATTGAGATATCAAGTTCAAACATCTATTGGCTAATCTCTCAAGCCCCGCCCTAGTATCAGATTCCACCAGTAATAAACCGTCATCAGCATACGCGTTCAGAGTACATCCGGATGGTATTGGTATCGTAAGAAAATCGTCGAAGCCGATATTCCACAAGTATGGAGCGTGCTATGGAAAGGGCTATGCTTGGCAACGAGGAGATCCGCAGGAGAACAAAGGTGGTCGACATAGCCCAACGGATTAGCGCGCTCAAGTGGCAATGGGCAGGGCACATATCAAGGAGAACTGACGGCCGATGGGGCAGCGAGGTTCTCCGATGGAGACCACGTACTGGAAAGCGCAGTGTGGGACGACCGCCTACCCGATGGACGGACGACCTGGTAAAGGTTGCCGGAAACCGTTGGATGCAGGACGCAATCAACCGTCCCCGCTGGAAATCATTGGGAGAGGCCTATGTCCAGCAGTGGACAAGCATAGGCTGAGACGACGACATTTTATTCCTTCCTTTCTAAGGAGAGGCCTATGTCCAGCAGTTGACTATTAAAGGCTGTTGATGTGATGTGATGTGACATTTTGCTTTAAGAGTATATTTTATATTGCCTTAAGTATCACTTATAATATTCTGTTCTCTTTGTCATTAAGTTTATCTATTTACACGCGTAACTCTTGCGTAAATGATATAATGATATGAAACAAATATGAATAGGTAAATGCAAGGGAATACTGAGATTTCAGGTTTTTACAATATTTTCTTTATATTTGTACATTTTCTTTATGTTTGATAAAGGTAAATAATATTTCTTCGGAATAGTACACATGTTGTTGTAACATAGGATTCAATGGAAAGAGCAAATGGGACCCATCGTTAACAACTAAAAAATGGGATCTAAAACTGGGATCCGAGGAAAATAAATCATCTCCAATTAATCTGAACCTCGGCTATGGTGACAAGACTGTTGACTAACGTACTTATATATTTCTAAATACTTAAATTTTATAGAAAAACTACAACTCTACTCATCCAGGTCAAAAATATTGTGTGACAATTGGCGTCATACAATATTTTTTGAGTTGGATGGAATCGAATAAACGATATCTGACTCAGCAGTCCGGTCCGCAAGCTAACTAAAAAGCCCGTAGGGATTATTATTCCTATCAAATTTGTCAGTTTTCTATATTAAAACAGAAGGTGTAACGTATAATGCCTAATGTACTATACAATCTATAATCTTTCTAACATTATGTACCTCGACACCTTTTGGGGGATAATGTAGAAAAAATGCTTTTTCCTTTTTTTTCAGTTTCTTGCTGCCATACTGCTGCTTTATTGCTTAGTGGGACTATACCAGACCATAAACGTATTTCTTCACATAAAGTATTGGATACTGATGCATGAGATTATAACACTCACTGTGGTAATAGCGGTAGTGCTTGTAGACATCATAGTACATATTCTGTTTATCGTTGGAGCTCATAAGGTCAGTTTACCACAATTAATATTTTAAGGTCATCATTAGTTGTTTATAACTCGTCTAAAAACAGTTTAGCATTTGATAAATAGATTTAACATTTTTAGAAATATGAATTAAGTCCCACTTGCTTAATAAATAGCAATCCTATGGAAGGAAAAAAAAAAAAGTTTATTTTGGAAATATCACAACACTTTTGCAATTTTGCAGCTTGAGTTACCACCGATGCCAAAAAGGGACCCAATTTGGTGGTTTGGGTATTGGGTAATTTTATTACGAGTACAGTCGACTGGGTACAAAATGTGGGCATGTAAAACGCCTCTGACTACCCCAACGGGGTTAAAAGAATGCATAAACACACATATATTATATACACACGCATAGATACACAAGTATGAATTAGGTTTGTTAATACTACTACATGTGTATACTGTTACATGTGATAAGTTGCTGCAAAACATTTTCACATACAAGAAAAGTTGTTACATAATGTTTTTTTTTTGGTAATTATAATTGTTAATTATATTTATTAATTCCATTACATTTCGTGAATTAGTTTCGACGACCGCTAAAATCTATTCTTAAATCGACAAAACCTCAATAATAAAGTTAAACAGTTTTCTGAGCATTGTTTTATACACACTAATCTCTGGAACTACTAGTCAATTATTCAGAACTGTCTTGTATTTTTTAATTTTATGTAGAAACTGGTTTAATTATACAACTTTGTTTGTATCTTTTAAAAGGTAATATAGGAAAATATATATATATAATATAGGTAATTCAAGATAATATAGGAAAATGAGATATGTTTATTGGTTAGAATTCGCACTCACAAAAGTGTAATCCGTAATAAACCTTGCACGTTGGTACTCGTACTCATGAAACAATGTTGCTTTTAGTAGGTAAAGGTTACAATAAATTGACAACATTTTTGAGCCTAGTAACATTTTAACAGCTTTTTAATTTATTATTTTCAGAAAGAAGTTAAATTTTTAAGAGTCTATTACTACTATTCTCTGACTCTGCTGGGGCTGCTATTGCTGCTGTACCTGTACTGGATTGTTTTAATGATACGAGATAGGATCTACCGCTACATTAATTTTTTTATAATCTCGGCCTGGGCTGTGATGTTTCTCAATTTACGTAAGTATTTCAGTTTAGTTTGTATATGCTGTAATCTGAACATTTGTAACCAATAAAAGATTGTCTACATGTAACTATGTGTATTGCACGTAGAGGTACGTCTTGTTCTTGTATTAATTTGTCTTGTCTTATAAGGCAAGGCAATTGAAGGAAATAACAATTAAAAGAAAGGTATAATTTTACAGTTCGAAGTCACTTTTTTAGAGGAGAAAATTATAATTGATTGAATTTTAAATACTGAGCACATGTTCATCCTTGTGGATATAATTTTGCACTAAGATAGTTTGTATGTACTAAATATACAAGTCGTGCGGATACTGTCAATCTAGCAACTTATTAGTTAGATTGATAACTAAATTTCCAGCCTTGGAACAGAAGGTCAATTCTCGTGATAAAACCTAATTTTTATTACGAGAATTGACCTTCTGTTCCAAGGCTGAAAATTTAGTTTAGCAAAATAAAAATTCGATCACCATTCAGTTCCCGATATCACAATACGATATAATCAAATTACAGTCAACGTTGGATGTTTAATACTTTACTACCAAAATACCTTTTATGGCAGTTGCGAGATCGAGAGTTAATTGGAACTGAATTGTGACCGAAATTTTATTTTGGAGAATTGGCATTCAGTTCCATTAGTTCAGTATCGGTTTATATAGTGTAGGTAAGCGTTTTAATATCATTTTGTCTACTCTTTACTTAGTCTTAGTATTAATAGACTTGAGTGTATTTGTGTAGATAATATATTTTATAATATTTTACAGTTATTCAAGCATACGTCATATTACTCGTAAGAAGTGAAATTGTCAAACTCAATAACATTGGATCCTTCAGGTTTGTAAATAACGCAGCTGAAGCTGAATGTAAACTATATATTGAAGACCCACATGAAGAAATAGTTCAGATCAATGAGGAAAACGAAAAAGATGAGAACGACAAATCAGACACGGACACAGAAGACAAGAATTTGAATATCGCTTAAAAAAACAGATTATAAATAAAAATTTGATCATAATTATGTGTAATTAAAATAACTAAGGTCACAAAAGTCACTTACCTATCTTTCCCTTTTTTCTCACTCCCATTTCTTCGTCTTTAATTCTTCAAGTACCCGTTAGTATTATCAAATTCCAGTTGGCAAAATATGGGGGAAATATGTCTTCTACTTCAGGGATACAGACGTGAGTGTACGAGTATAAGTAGAAGTTAATTAAAAAGATGTTAATTAGATTTGTGATTCTTATTTACTAATTAAAATCTACCAACGTATGACATACGAAAACTTTTTTCTCGATGAGATTCGACTGCAAAAGCATCACAAATATGTAAATCTCAACTAATAAATCTTCGGTAGATCAGGAGAAGCTACTTTAAGTGTTACCTGCCTAGGATATAAATCTGGGAGATATCTAAAATATATAACATTGTTAACAAGAATTTACTTAATCATGAAATAGGAATTGCCTGGGGTTACCAAAATTTATAGGGTAGATTTTAAAGTTTAGGCTCTTTGGTTGCCAACTACCTAGGAGCTTCATAACTACCTAGTATACAGGATGTAAGGGAGGTCGTAACGAAAACTAGTGTATTCGATATAACGCAGTGTATTCAGACCATGATTCTGAGTCGAAAGTCATTGGAATTTTCGGCCGGAAAATTCATTATTTCTTTTATAATTTTCCATACTTGGTTAAAATGATGAAAAAATGATAGCATAACATAATTAATCAAACAGCCGAAGCAGGCTCGGTCTTCCCTCTGCCTGCCTGATAGCTGATTGCATAAAAAGTTTAATTTTCCATAAAAAAACAACAATGGTTTTCGGAATGTCGGATTCGGATTTAGAACGATGGTCTGAAGGAGGAATATTTCAGTATTCGTTACGACGTCCCTTACACCCTGTATAATACAGTCTTAATTTTTATTACAGTATTTTAATATACAGTTTTTACAGGACATGTTTATCATGTTTGATTAGAGATACTAATCTTCAGAATTTGGAATTTAAACGATATTGTTTGTCCGACAAAAAGTTTTAAAAATTGAAATTGTTTGATTTAGAAAATTCTTTCTTTCATCTGTAAGATTATACTTCTCGTTTGGTACCATTCCAATTTGAAAAAATAGTATCTTTGCTCCAAAATTAAGGAATGAAGAGTGACTAGTTTATTACAACTCATCATGATGTAGGAGCATTGATTCAATTATAAGTAATAATAATAATAACTTCTATTGATACCAAAATACCAATATTATACCTACATTAAATTTTTAAACATATAACAATAGGTCCATGATCCCTAACGTCTAATCTAGGTCGGGTCACGCGATGCTATGCGATGGTAGGTGTGGTATTAGATGTTACAGATCATATCTATTACGAACACACGCACAAACGCACACACGCTCAGCTATACTCTGGCCACACTCTTTTATATTGGTCTTAATTTAGTTCTAAATGTTTATATTCTTGTGCTGTTAAACAACTGTTGTAAGTTTTTTTTTAATTTCTTTTTAACCTTCCAAGCTATAATAATACAAGTAACTACTCTGTTAGATAGAATCAAAATGACAATGACCAATGTGAAATGACAAGCAACGAGCTTAGTGCCGATCACTGTTAATTCTGAATTGTTTCCCGTAAATGTATAAATGTCTGACTCTAAACTTCGATGATCGCCAATAATCACAAGAACTCCCGACACTATTCTGTAATCATGACATAGGCTAAAAACATATATTTTAGCTCAGCGCTCCTATACAAAACAACAGAACTACATTTAGATATCTACTTCACATAAAAAGGTATTTTTGAAGTTAATCAAAGAATTATTTAAAGTTCTAACTTGACGAAAACTTATTACTAACTTAATTAGTACAAAATGTTGTAAATGTATCACAGTAAAAATATGTTGCCTTATTTGTCAATTAATTGGTAAACGAACTCCCCTAAAGACCATGCTTTAAAAAGAAACAAGTACTTTGACTTAACCAACGAAATAACTAAAAATTGTTATTTCGTTGCGTTGTATGCCATGGAAGTGGGTGCGAGCGGTATACCAGCTAAATCCCTTTATAAACTGCTTAAAGACTTTGGATTGACAAGAACTTCAGTAAGCTCTTGTCTAGAACGAATATCCAAAGCGGCATTGCTAGGCTCATGTCAAATATGGTTAGGTAGAGGGGTTAACACAGCAAACAGTGGAGGTGAGCGCTGGCGCGTCGCAAGCAGTACTCCCTAACCTCATTCCTGGATCGCAATTCCCAGGCGCTGTCAAAGTCGCACGTGTTATCTCCATCTATCCATCCAACGCCAAAATATAGGTATTTTTAAACGGCAAAAACCGAAATTCCTTTAGATTCGTAAATAACGCAGCAGATGCGGTATGTACTTTAAATATTGAGGCCATGAGTGATCAAGCTAAAGAAAGGTAGAAAATTATCCACAACCGAGACTCAATCATGTAGAATATTTATTAAATTAATATAAAAAGGATTGATTGTCGTTTAATATAAATTAGTATAATAAAAAATTTAGGGGGCAAATTTCTAGACGCGTCACCTTATTAATAGTCGCTAAGGGACTACCGCCGTCTAGGAACACCTCTAACTCAAAAGTCACACCCATTGCCGGCCTTTGAGTTATGAGTGCGCTCTCTGCTTAAAGATTTCAAAGTCGGTAATCGGTCTCTAAATTCCGCAGCTGACAATATGTGGTGCAAGGTAAAAAATCTTGAAAAGGTGGTGCAGGATGGGACGGATTTTTTTGCCGTGTTAAATGACTTTTTCAAAAACAATAGGGTGTTATAAATTAGACGTGTCTCTCTGTGTTTGTGTCTGTCTGTGTCATGATAGCTCCCGTACGGATGAACCGATTGTGAGTGTGAGTGAATTAGTCGGGCGTGTTCTTAGCTATGTTTGATGGACATCGGTCTAAGATGGTCACATCACATCACATCAACAGCCTTTAATAGTCCACTGCTGGACATAGGCCTCTCCTTAAAAAGAAAAAGAGGTTCTCTCTAGAAAGGAGGTTCAGTCCGTGTGGTGACGGATTAAGAATACAGAGTGTCATCCCTATTCATCCCGTGGGTGTCGTAAGAGCCGACTTAGGGAGTAAACGAAGCAGAACAGCAGCACTGCGGAGAGAAGGAAAACTTGACACAAACCCAATACCAACCCGTCTAGCCAGCGTGGTGTAGTAGGCCAAAACCTACTTTCTAAGATGGTCGTCGCCACAAAATGGTGGATTAGATTTTTTTTCACAACTTCCTCAATATGGGTATCAAATGAAAGGGCTTGACTAGTAGAATACTATACAAGTATACACTATAACAAATTTCAAATCTAAGATGTGTGTCGGGGTTTTTTTAATTTTTTCATTTAATTAATTATGAATTGAACTTATAAGCACGTGAGGTGCTAGAATTAAAGTGCCGATGATAGGTGAAATATTAGATGTTACTTAAAATATATGACTACTGTGTGTTTATTTATTTATTTATAACAACTAAATGCACAAGTTGTACACAGGCGGACTTAATGCAAAGGGCATTCTTTGTCAGTCAACCTTCGGGTGATGCGGTAGGTTCAAGAGAAAACAGATAGAGATAAATACATAGAGGTCCCAAGTATACACATACAATACATAAACATATCTATATATATAAAAGAAAGTCGTGTTAGTTACACTATTTATAACTCAAGAACGGCTTTACCGATATGGCTAAAAATTGGTGGGGAGATAGCTTAGAGCCAGGAGACGGACATAGGATACTATTTATTCCGTTCGAGTTTTTTTTTTTTACGAACTTTGCTTTACTCGGAGATGCCACGTTATTATACTTGGAATGCTTCATCGAAGAATTTTCAAAGACGGAAGCAAGGCGATGCGGTTCCTGGGTATCCGGATGTGCGTTCCACTGATGCTCTTGGTCGTATGTATACAGTTCATTCAAAGAATGATGCAACAACCGCAAATAGAAACCTATTTGCGGTTGTTGCTGATAAATGTGCGTGGGCCAACGTCATTTGAGACACTACGGACTGTTAATGGTGTAATATTCCCAACATATCGTGATGCATGTGAAGAACTGTACTTATTAGAAAACGATACCCATTGGGATACGACAATCGCTGAAGCCATTATCTCTGCATCTCCAAGTCAGATACGCACATTATTCGCTATCATAATTTAGACATGCTTTCCATCAAACCCATGCAACCTGTGGCACAAATTTAAGGATAATATGTCAGAAGATATTTTACATCAAATTCGTATCACTTCCAGAAATCACGATGTTGAGATGAACGAGGAGATACATAATCGTGCTTTACTCTTGATCGAAGACATGTGTTACCTCATGTGCGGTAGTTTATTAATCAGGTTAGGAATGCCAGCGCCCAATCGTGAAATGAATGACGCATTTAATCTATGTTAATATGATCACCAGGAATTAGATTTAGTAGTTCAAACGAATGTACCCCTGTTGAATTCCCAACAAAAGGAAGTTTATGATACTTTAATGAAGGCAATCGATGATGGAAATGGTGGTTTATATTTCCTAGATGCCCCTGGTGGAACAGGTGGAACAGGAACATTCCTCATGTCAGTAGTATTAGCCACTGTTCGTGCGAGATTTAACATAGCGGTTGCAGTTGTTTCTTCTGGAATAGCAGCCACATTGTTAGAAGGATGCCGTACGGCTCATTCAGCATTAAAATTACCGTTAAATCTTCAAACTATTAAAGAACCAACGTGTAATATTACGAAAAATTCAGCAATGGCCAAAGTTTTATCGGCATCGAAAATCATCATCTGGGACGAATGCACAATGGCGCATAAACGTGCATTAGAAGCACTTAACCGAACATTGAAAGATTTACGGAATGAAAAAAGATGTTTTGGAGGAGCAATGATTTAACTGTCTGGCGATTCCCGCCAAACACTGCCAGTAATTCCAAGATCTACGGCTGCCGACGAAAGAAACGCTTGCCTCAAATCGTCGAATCTATGGCGCTATGTGAAGAAACTGCGGCTGACAACAAACATGAGAGTTGCATTGCTTAATGATACATCTGCTCAAGATTTCTCTGAGCAATTGCTGACTATCGGTAATGGTCAAGTACCTGTCGATGAATCGAGCGGATTGATATCATTTCCAAATAATTTCTGTAATTTTGTCTCATCAAAAGACGAACTTATCAACAATGTATTTAAAGACATTATTTCTAACTACAAAAATAATGAATAGTTGAGTGAGCGAGCAATTTTAGCGGCTAAGAATAAAGATGTAGACGACCTGAACTATATAATTCAAAATAAGATCATTGAAACAATGCATTCATTTAAATCTATTGACTGCGTCACAAATGAAGATGAAGCCACCAACTATCCAATTAAATTTTTAAACTCCCTTGATGTGCCTGGCTTACCACCGCACAATTTACGCCTAAAGGTTGGCTCCGTAGTAATCATGCTTCGAAACATAAACCAACCAAAACTGTGCAACGGTACGCGTTTGGTGGTTATAAAATTGATGAACAATGTAATTTACGCGACGATACTGAAAGGAAAATTCAAAGGTGAGAAAGTTCTCATTCCGAGGATCCCGATGATCCCAACCGATTTGCCGTTTGAATTTAAAAGACTTCAATTTCCGATCCGTCTTGCATTTTCCATGACCATCAATAAATCACAAGGCTAATCCTTAAAAGTTTGTGGTTTGAATCTAGAACATCCATGTTTTTCCCATGGTCAATTATATGTGGCATGTTCACGGGTCGGAAGACCATCAGCGTTGTTTGTTTTTGCGCCTGATAAGAAAACAAAAAATGTCGTGTCTCACAAGGTACTTAAGTGAAGAGCAACCTATGTACTGAAATGCAGAAACAATAATAAATGATTAATGTACTTCATTTTTTTTTCTAAGAAAAAAATTAACTTACTAAATTCGAAAATCGGCTTATTTATTGCCTTTAAGGCGGAACAGAGTTCGCCGGGTCAGCTAGTACATACATAAAAATCAACATACACAGTCAGGTACTAGCGTTGTGACCTTTCTGCCAACTCATTTTGCAGAAGATATATTAATATTATAAAAATATATTAGAAGATTTATTTATTCTTATGCTCAATATTGTCATCTGCCTAAGTACTCTCTATAGCAGGTATTATAATTTCGTTTAATTTGTTTTGAATTGGTTTACATTAGACTTGCAACGAATATTCGGTTACTATTCGGTATTCAACCTATTCGGCTGCTTTTATTATATTCGGCCGAATACCGAATATCTACATATTATTCGGCCGAATACCGAATACTTAAATAATATATTTTGTCATTGAGAAATAATTGGTAAAATGAAAAATTAAAATCGATTGATTACGTATATATTCATATTTTCATTTCTGTTATAATCATTTAAGTAGTCATTGGTGCATAACACAGGTACATAATCATCTTCTGAATAGGAAAAATGGAGGATTCTATGTATTTGAATTATTGTGGTAATCAAAATTTAGAAGGGTAAGGTTCTCATTTCTTTTATAATCATTTATTAAGTAGTCATTGGTACATAAAACAGGTACATAATTTAATTCACGTCTCTACAAGTTTTTGGCGCTAAAATCGCTATTCGGCTATTCGGTCAGGGGCCTCGCCGAATATTCGGTATTCGGTATACTGCCGAATATACTATTCGTTGCAAGTCTAGTTTACATGCATTACGTTATTACTTACAAAATTTTAATAATAGAACAGCGTCGTAATAATATACCTATTGATATAACGGCGCTGTGTCTTGCCAGGAAAATATTCATTGACCGCTTTATCTTGCGGAGGTTACATTATCAACATGTAAACTGGTTTACTTATGAAAACAGTAAATATTTGGCCCTATTATTGCTAGTATTGATCAGTCAGTCAGATCATCTATGTTAAGCGATTTAGGGTTTATAATCAAAGTAGGCGCATTGACATTTTAGCATTTTCTACTACATTTGTTTAGAAGCCGTGCGAGTTTAAGTGCTGGTTTATCGCAGTCTAATATAAAATTTATTATTCCAAGTAACTTACTACAAGCGCGGAGGAGGTGAGCGCTGAGGCGTCGCAAGTAGTACTCCCTTCATCTACTCTTGGGTCGCAATTCCCAGGCGCAGTCTCCCCCATTTATCACGAGATGGACACGGCACAAGTACGGTGAATCCATGAAACGCTAAGAAATAGGTCTTTCTTTAGTTAAATTAACTTGATCTCAGCACTATTTCGATAAAAGATAACAGAAAGTACACAATAATAACAATTGAAGAAAACACCAACAGTTCAATGTATTGGTATCTAACACAAACTGATAATCCTCTGATAAGGCTAGGCGATCGTACCTGGCTAGCCGAGACCCAATCGCTAACGTTGAGAAGTTGTATGTGAATAATTATGTAAATCCGGTCCGTGTGGTAACGGATTAAGAATACAGAGTGTCACCACCCCTATTCATCCGGTGGGTCTCGTAAGAGCCGAGTAAGGAAGAAAACTACTCAAAAAAACAGCACTGCACAGAGAAGGACAACTTAACACAAACCATATACCAACCCGTCTGGCCAGCGTGGTATAGTAGGCCAAAACCTCCTTTCTAAGGAGAGGCTTATGTCCAGCAGTGGACTATTAAAGGCTGTTGATGTGGTGATGTAATGAATTATGTAAATCGGACTGAAAGCTTTCATTGCGCAGTACAGAAAAAATGATAACTACGTATTTCGGTGCCTTCGTTAGATGTTGTTTTCATTTTAAATGAAAGTCACCACGTTCAATTATAATATACATGCTGCTAACAATACATTTGCTGTCTTTTGTAAATATTTTTAACAGATACACTATTAACGTTTTCATTACACTACATGACAATTAAATTAAATATATGTGTCTTAAGACGTGTCAATTATCTTGTTGTGGTTCTTATAATATTGCAGTGCGTGGCAATAATACTTTAGTTAATCACCAACTTTGGTATTAAAAACACACTAAACTATAAAAACCTAGTGTTTTCATCAGTGTTATCAAATTTCGTAAATATACCTACTTGTAAGTCGACAATATAGAGATGCGTACCGAAGTACCAGTTCTGAGAAGGTGTTATTTCTGCTTATCCCTCAGACATGGTTTACTTGCATGGGGATATTTCAAGTTGGTAAGTACCTCTCATTAATTAATTATCTCAGTGTATATAATCAAAAATAAAGTGTTTCGACAGTAAAAAATTATATAACAGTAACAAATTTACAAAAAAAAGTCCGTGTGGTCACGGAGTCAGTGTGGTGATGGATTAAGAATACAGAGTGTCACCACTCCTATTCATCCCAAGGGTGTCGTAAGACACGACTAAGGGAGCAAACTACGCAAGACAACAGCACTGCAGAGAAAAGGAAAACTTGACACAAACCCTATACCGACCCGTCTGGCCAGCGTGGTATAGTAGGCCAAAACCTCCTTTCAGAGAGGCCTACGTCCAGCAGAGGACTAGTAAACACTGTTGATGAGAACAAATTCTTTATGAGAAACTAATACGCCTGCAAAACTCCTAGAAAAAAAACTGTCTATGATGATGATGTCACTGTTTACAATTTACTTTTGATTTTATTTAATCAAAATAATTTACATATTAAAGAGTTTCTCAATGTTACAGAAACGTTAACGAAAATTTTTACATTTTACTATTCATCATCATCAACAGTTTCTAATAGTCCACTGCTGGACATAGGTCTCCTATGTCCAGCAGTGGACTATTCTTTATTATAATCCTTGGAAAGAAGGTTTTGGCCTACTATACAGTGCTGGCCTAACGGGCTGGTATAAGGCTTGTTTCGGGATTTCCTTCTCTTTTCAGTGCTATTGTCCTGCGTACTTTGCTCTCTTAGTCGACTCTTACGACACGATGAACAGGGGAACATTTTAATATTGGTCCGATATAAATGAAAACGCATTTTTTAACTTTTTTTCATTCTAGGATGTTTCGAAAAAGACGCACATATCTTAATAAATAATTTATTTTTCAGATATTAACTTCGATGCTGCTCCTTTATTTTTCAATTGTACTATACGTCGTTGTAATATACTCAAGTATTAACAAGGTGTATGATGATATTAATGTTTTAATATACTCCGCTGTACTATTAATCGTCACAGGCGATTTTATCTTACACATAATTTTCATCGTTGGAGCTCACTCGGTTAGTTTTATTTAAAGTTTCTTTAGAAATAAACGTTTTGACTTTTTATGGGATAGGGATAGGTAATGGTAAGTGATTACCGTCGCCTATAGATATCTTCACCTCAAGAATCACAAGTACGTTGCTAGAGGAAAATTGAATTGGGTTCCCACATAAGAGGGTGTCATTTACACGCCGTAGATGGCCCGAGGTGCGTCCGGGTACCAGGGATTTTATTTCTAGGGTACCTGGTTTCTCGATACGCGAGACGGCGTGTGGTTTTTGGTCGGTTCGAAGTCGACATAACCACCCCACCGGTGAACGGTATCCGAGGGGATTTTCGCACAGCAAAAAAAAGGGAGAAACAGAATAGTTACCTAAAATCAAGGGTAGGGGGAAGGTTTGGGCTCCGGTAACTTCACTCACTCAGTGATAAGAAACGGAAGAACTGCTGAACCCTGGTATTTTTAGGCTGTGGTATAACTCCGGTCGAGCCTGGCCCATATGTGCAGAAGCATGTTAGTGTAGAATGATTTATTACAAGCTCTTATTTGACTTGTTATATGACTTGGTATATTTGACTTGGTATATTACAGAATAACAATTGACACAAGTAAATTGTTCTATAGAGTCATGTGTCCGACATTTGATTTGGCGATCAAACTGCGATGATGAGGTGAAATGACGGTTAATATCATCCAAATCAGAGGTCGAAGGAAGGTTAAATTTTTCAGACTTGCATAAGTTATGCCAGAGTCTAATAGCCAGAGTACAGTGCCAAATATTTTTGATTTTTATTGTAGGTATTATTCTATTTTATATATTTTTATTGTACGCCTTATAAGACATGTTACGGATCCGGATGTACCTAATGGTTTTATAAGATTTTATTATACCTGTAACAAACAATAAATAAATTGATTGATGGAAAACCTAAGTTTTCCCCATAAACTGGAAAAAACTTAGGATTCAATCTTAATATAAGACAATCTTAATAGGAGTAATTTTTTGTTTCAGAAAGATATTAAGCTTTTAAGGGTGTACTATGTCTACAGCGTAATGCTGGTAGTAGTCAGCTTTCTGATGTTTATTATATGCGCGGGGATAATGATAAATAGGATTTTTATTGAAACCATTGGCCATATAGGACTTACGTTTGTCTCCGAATTATCGAGCTTTTTTGTTAATTTACGTGAGTATTCGATCTTTAAATCAGTACTGTAATACACTAGCCTATCTTCCTCTTGGTAAGCAAGCCTGACTGCTAAGCTAAAGGCCATAGGTTGAATTTTCACCCAGGATAAATATTGTGTGATAAGCACGTTTATTTTTTCTGTGTCTGAGCGTTATTTGTTGATAATATATGTTCATAATCAACAAAATTGTTGATAATGCATTTTGCATGAAATGTTAGAAATACAGGTAAGTATGTTCATCAGTAGTTTGGTTACCGTAGTAAAGATTGATCCTAGTTTAGGATCAGATGGCCGTGTATAAGATATATTAAGTCATTTAAAAAAAGAAATAAGCTGTTTGGAAGTTATACAGATGAGAAGCCCCCTTAAAAAGGAGCAGCGACTTTAAAAAAGGTCCAACAGGACTGAAAATGCTCAAACTAATCCTATTTTGTGTAACGGTGGTCCATACTCGGCATTTCTGGTGACTGCCTGAAAGTATGTTCAGGCATCCACCAATCCGACATTATGATTTGTTGATAATTATATAAAATACGTATTTAAAAATGCAAGTTGCAAGAAATTATATAAATGCCAGTATGTTTATCAGAAGACTGTGTGTGAGATGTGTGAGGTTATTAAAAAAAGCAACACACTGTATTTACAGATTGTAATACTATAATAGTAGGCCAAAACTTCCTTTCTAAGAGGCCTATGTCCAGCAGTGGACTAGTAAAGGCTGTGGATGATGATGATAATGAATACTATAACTAAACAGATATCTTTTGTTTTTCAGTTATCCAAATCTACATTACTCTACTTGTGAGGAGCGAGATTATCAAACTTAAGAATACTATGTCTTTTAGATTTGTAAATAACGCGGTCGAAGCTGAATGTAATTTGATTATTGAAGACACATATGCAGAGAAGACTGCTGATGATGCTGAAGTTATAGAAGTTGATGATGTAATGAAGTGCAATTAAGTTTATTCCCTAAGTTTTGTCATACTTTATTTACTAATTAGTTCTAGTTCCAGGGGGAGTCGAGCAGACGGATCACCTGATGGAAAGTGAGCATCGCTGCGCATCAACGTCTGCAACTCAGGAGTCACAAATGCGTTGCCGGCCTTTTAGAAAGGTGTATGCTCTTTACTTGAAGGTTTGAAGGTCGTATCGGTCTGGAAATAACGCAGACGATAACCCGTTCCATAGATTGGTTGTGCTAGGCAAAAAGTGTCTCGAGAAGCGCACAGCGGCGGAGCGCCAACTATCCAGGTGATGGGGATGAAAATTTTGCCGTGTTTGCAACCGGTATTAGTCAGAACATTTTGTATTGGTATTGGTTGTGGGCCTCGGTTTCCGCATTTAGACTCAGAGTGGTCCTTTATGCGTCGGGGATTGGCTGACTAGGTGAGCCAGCCAAGCTCCTTCCAGAAGCGCAGAAGCCTCCTGGGGCGTTCACAGGCTTCTAGGAGCGACTTTATATCAGGAATGATATTTGCCCGTTGTGTGGCCACTCCCTCGCATTCCAGGACTACGTGGGCGGCCGTTTCTTCAGCTTCCAGACACCCCCTGCACAGGGGGCTGTCCGTCGCATTGACTATGAATAGTTGTCGGTTCAGGGCTAGATGTCCTGTAATAGTTCCGACAACCATTCTGATGTCCGGTCTGCTAGGACTGATCAGTCTGCAGGTGAGTCGTGGCGTGACTTGATTCAGCACCAGTTTGGACTGTCTGCAGCCGGGTGAATTTTTCCATCTCCGGTTGTGTGCTTCACAGGTCCGTTGCCTGACCCAGCATCGTATTTGGTTAAACGATATGGGCAGAAGTGGGGTTGGGCCAGAGGTTGGGGTTGCCGATCCCCTCCTTGCCAACTCATCTGCGGCATCGTTCCCGTGTGAGTTACTGTGCCCTTTAATCCATTGGAGGAGTACCCCATTGAATATAGCGAGCTGTTCCAGTGCTTGGTGGCATTCGAGGACAACACCAGAGGTCATTGTGTTGCCCTCCAATGCCTTTAAGACGGCCATGCTGTCGGATATTATTCGGATGTTGTAGTCCTTGATACCCCTTGACATGGCCGTTGTGGCGGCGTAAGTTATTGCCACACATTCACATTGAAATATGGAGCTGTGTTGGCCTAACGCTAGTGATATGTTTATATTTAGGTCTTGCGAGAAAACTCCGGCTCCAGTTCCTGACCTAGTCTTGGAACCGTCCGTGTAAATTCGGACTTCGTTAATGCCGGATTGATCACGGTCATTTCCATGTATCTGGATGTAGTATCTTCTTGTGAAGATATGGTGTTTTGGGATTCTATCGCATGGAGCTGCTATCAGTGGTTCGTATTCCACCAATTGATCCCATAATTTAGAGTGCGATCCCTCCCTTTTGTGCCATAGACCCAGGTGTTTGAGTCTAATGATCGCCATGGCCGCCTCCTGCTGTATGAATAGATCCAGGGGTGGCAGACCAAGAGCCACCTCCAGTGCGGCAGTAGGCGTTGTGCGCATACAGCCAGTGACCGCGGAGCATGGGAGTCGCTGGAATTGCTGCAGTTTGTTTATGACGGTGCTTAGCTCTGTTCTCTGCCACCAGACAACAGCACCGTAAGTGATTATTGGTCTTATGACTGTCCTGTATAGCCATGAAGTAATTTTGGGTGATAGTCCCCAGCTTTTGCCGAGTAGCCGCTTGCATTGGCAGAAAATAATGCAGGCTTTATTCAGTTTTTCATCGAGGTGCTTATTCCACAGGAGTTTACTGTCCAGTATTACTCCTAGGTATTTGACCTCTTTGGTAAGAGTAAGTTGTGTTCCAAATAGCTTGGGAAGTCTGAGATTTCCTAGGCTGCGTTTGTTTGTGAACATGATCATCTCTGTTTTGGATGGGTTCACTGTCAGGTTGTGTGCTGCGCACCATTGTTCCACGATCTTCAGTGCAAGTCTCATTTGATCGCATGTAATGCTCTCAAAAGGACCGCTGATGAGAATGGTAAGATCGTCTGCATAGCCTATTGTGAGGAATCTTTGGTCATTAAGTTGTGCGATGAGCTCATCCACAACAATGTTCCATAGAAGGGGGGAGAGTACACCGCCCTGGGGGCAACCTCTAGCCACCACTCCTCTAGTCACTTCGCTCACAGTGAATTGTATAGCTCTATATCTTAGCATTCTGTCGATCCACCCTGAGATTGTGGAATCAACACCATGCCTAGAAAGAGCTTGGCTAATGCTGGTGAAGTTGGTCTTGTCAAAGGCTCCCTCGATATCGATAAAGGTGGCCAGTGTTGACCTTTTGTGATTTAGATTGTCTTCTATATATGAAACAACTCGATGTAGGGCAGATTCTGTTGATTTACCCATCGAGTATGCGTGTTGATTGAGGTGTAGAGGGTGACTGACTAACGCAGTTTCCCTGATTTCCCTATCTATTAGCCTCTCAAGAACCTTTAGTAGGAAAGATGTGAGACTAATAGGTCGGTGTGATTTGGGTTGTGTGTAGTCACCTTTACCAGGTTTGGGGATGAAGACTACTTTAACTTCTCTCCATTTCAAGGGGATGTACTGATGCGCCAGGCAGCCCCTATAGATTTTTATAAGATGGTCCAGTAATGTCGTATCAGACCATCTCAGTAGGCCTGGGAAGACACCATCTAGTCCTGGCGCCTTGAATGGTAGGAAGCTGTTAATTGCCCATCTTAGTTTGTCATGGGTGACAACTTTGCGGGCCGTATCCCAGTCTGTATCATCTGGTGGTTTTTCCCATCTGTCTTCCCATTTTTCCATCACATCTGATATGCGACATCCAGGGAAGTGTGTTTTTAATAACAGCTCTGAGGCTTCCGAGTCTGTTTTGGTATACTCACCATCAGGCTTCTTCAGTGAGCCAAGATTGTGTTCGCCTCTACTACACAGTATGCTTTTGACTCTATTGGCCTGGTTGTTGTTCTCTATGTTAGTACAGAAGTTTCTCCAGCACTCAGTTTTCCTGGTTCTGATTCTCTTCTTATATTGTTGTCGGGCCTGCGTGTAGGCATCCCAATGTTGGTCTAATCGCGAGTTTTTTGCTTTATTGAACAACTTTCTCACTTTACGACGTAGTCTTTCCAGTTCCGGACCCCACCATTGGTGTTTGTTCTGTGGTCCAGTTCTGGGTGTGGAAAGTGGGCATGTTTGTTCAAAGCAATCGATCAGTGTCTGTGTAAGGTTGACAACATGACTGTCAATGTCCTTAACAGTCCCCGTAGCGTATGTTGGGTTGATGCTTCGCAGATTCTCCGCAGTAAGATGTTCATACCGTTTCCGGTCCATCGTGCGGGGATTCCGTCGGGGATCGGGTAGTTTAAGTTTCATTTCAAAGTTAAATTTGATCCAGCGATGGTCTGAGCACGATGCTTCGTTCGAAACATGCCAGTTCGATATGTGTTGCGATGCGTGCTCACTTGCTAATGTAAGATCAATTATAGTTTGGGCCCTGGACGTGACAAATGTCGGCTCCGAGCCCACGTTGATAATGTTAAGGTTGGTTGATAATAGGAACGATACAAATTCCTCACCTCTCCGGTTGTTGCTCCTGCTGCCCCACAGCGCATGGTGCGCGTTGGTGTCGGCAGAGATGATCAGCTCCAGACCCTCGCGCTCGCAGTGGTGTGCCAGCGCAGCCAGCTCCGGAGTGGGGATGTCAGCATCACCCGGCAAGTAGGCTGATGCTATCACCACGTCAGGCAGGTTTGATGAGGGTTCCTTTAACCTAACAGAGGTAAGGTCTCTGGAACAGAACTCGGTCATTAAGGTAGTACACGCATGTTTTGGTGTATAAATACAAGTGCGCGGGTTATCAATGGTAGTGTTGAGAAGTATCTTACCTCCAATATTATTTAGACCGCAGATCCTGCCCTTCCTAATCCACGGCTCCTGGATTAGGGCTACGGTGTTGGTTTTTACCTCCAGCTCTCTGCGTAGGGTAGCTGCGTAGGGAGGTTGGTTTGGATGGCTATAAGGGTGTTATGGGGGGGTGCAGACAGCGCCATCATCGCTGTTCAGCATATCCTCTATGTCGTCGAGGTCACTCTCGCCCACCGGTAGGTCCTCCAACTCCTCAGGAGGTGGACCCCGGCAGGCTGTCTCCTCAACGGGTCTCAGAGGATCCCCTCCATTGCCGTCCTTAGGGTGTTGTAGGGCCGATTCTCCTCCTCCCTCGAATGGCTCCTCGTTTGGGTTAGTTGGTGGGGCGGGACGTTCATCAAGGAAGCGAACGTAGAGGTTACCAAGTTTGTAGTATACTCTACGCTCGCTAGCCTTGAGCTTCACGACGTCCTCTTCTGGGATACCGAGCACTAGGAAGAGACATTTCTTTTCCTCCTGCGCCTCGGCATGGTAGAGGGCCCAGTTGGCCACATTGTACTGGCTATTCTGGTACTTTAGCCTCGTTTGAATACGGACCAGTGTATCATCTGGTCCGATTTGTGGTACCAGGAGTCCAGCCTTGATCCTTTTCGGGATCTCAAACTGCCTCCTGACGACCAGTTTGGTGCCTTCACGTGGTGATGGGATCCTTACCAGGGATCGGCGAAGCCACTGTAGGGCATATTCGTCGCTGCACCACATCTTAAGGGCGCCCTCACTGTAGAAGGCCTTGCCCCTAAACTGTGGCGCAGCGACGGGTGCGCTTGACGTGCCGGGCGAGAAGATCTCCTCATCTAGCACGCCCTGCAGCTGGCCCTCGATGTCCTCTGCCTGTGCCTTGGTGAGGTCGTGGTAAGGCTCCAGCATGACCGCGACGCAAAGGTCATTCGCCTTTAGTGCGTCGGAGTAACTCGTGGAGCCGGTCTTTGGCAGCGGTTTGAATCGCTTGCCACTGCCCTGGGGAGTGCGAGACTCGTCCGGGCGAGTTCTTTTGACGGGCTTTGTATCACTTGAAGGTTTCCCTCCACGTGTCGCTCGTCTCGCCCGTTTACCCTGTCCAGGTTGACCCTGCCTAGAGGGTACTTTGGCCGCTACAGGCGTCTTGGCAGGTGGCGCCCCCACAGGAGTACACTTCCCCGTGGCTTGACTTTCGTCTTCGCCTCGGGGCAGCACGTCACTGGCGGGGGCAACGTGGGCCCCTTCGGGCCCTTCAGCGACTTCAAGCCGCTTACTTCCACCCGAGTTCAGACACCGTGCTTGCCTTTCCACTCGGGCTTTCGCCCTGTTGGCGTTACGGGTCTTCTTGGACGGGTTTGGTTTTTTCGACGCTCTCTTCTTTGTCCTTACCAGGCTCCAGCCGGTTTCTTCCAGGCCGGGTCCCGCAGGTACGGGCATTGCTGCCCTCAAAGAGGAGAGGTCGATGGTCGACACTGGCTCCGTATTCTGGTTAGACACCAGAGGTGTCGCCAGAGTCGTGGATGGCGCTGCGGTCGGGTTGTTTGCCTGAGCAGCAGCCAATGGTGTATTTGCCGGATTCACCCTTGGGTTGTTCACCCTGGGGTCAGGCGATTGGTGGTTTAGCCTGGCACTTGGGTTGTTCACCCTCGGTAAAGGCTTGGTGGTTTTTTTATTAATTGGTTTTTTAGTATCCATAGTTGTTTTGGTATACTATTCATCTCCTTGTCCTTCCACCCTCCTTGGAGCCCTCAAGTGGGGACGCCGCGGCAGAAGGCACACGACGCCAGAAGTGACAAGGAAATATAGAGCTCCCTCCCTGGCAGAAGGCAGGCCGAACTAGGTAGGAAGACTTGGTCGTCCCACCCGTCGTCCACCCCCACCAAGGAAGAGCTCTCGCCCAGCAGCCCTCTGACGGGATACTACAGCCGATTGACCAAAGGTGGCTAGCCTTCAGCCTCCCGTGTAAAGAGAAATCCAGGCCAAAGCAGTGTGTTGCCTTTCAGCTCAACTACCAGGATCCCTTCATCCTCCCTTACGGGTCCCCGCACACGGCACAAACATGCGGGTGGTTGCCCCCCCTCCCCCTCACTCTCAGTCTTTGTTGATAGTGAGGCCGCAGGCACCAACCACTTAGTGTCCGCAGTAGGTGTAGATGGGATAGAAAATGGGAAGGGATAGGTTTTGTGGGATGGAATTGCGTCTGGGTGTTTCTGTTATATCTGTTTCGTAGGGAATCAGACCTAAAACAGGCGGCAACCACGGGAAGGATGACACCCAGACTTGCCATGGGGATCTACACGACTGTTGCGCTCTCCCCCATGACCATTCGCCGTGTACGCCCTCCGGACAGGAGGGCGTACCAGGATTGGATCTGCTCCAGGCGATCTTGGCCTATTGGAGCACACCCAACCCCGCCCATTAGTCAGAACAATTCCTCGGCACTCTCCATGATATATTTATTTATTTATTTTATTTATTTTTAACTTTTTGCACAAGTACATGCATCGGCGGACTTAATGCCTAAGGCATTCTCTGCCAGTCGACCGATTGGGCGATGCTGAGAAAGAATGAGGTAGGTGCATTTATGATAGGGTATAAACGATAGTGGTTTTGTTAAATACCAACTATCTTGGAATTTGGTGTATACGTCGTAATACCACACACATACACATACATATACATACTCATAAATATATACATACATACACACATATATATACATACACATACACATATATATATGAGAAAAATAAAAAAAATAAAAAATTAAAAAAAAAATTAGCCGATGAACTAGGAGCTCGTTGAATCTGCCATTTCGCTCAGCAATAGCTCTTTCACTTTCGTCTTAAAAGAGTACCGATTTGTAGCCATCCTGACTTCGTGAGGAAGCGCATTCCATAAGAGGACAGAGGATATATGCGATAGATAATGCAGAGTGAAGCCACATCTCTACGCAACACCAAGGGATTGAGTCGATCGGAGATGTTTGGGCTATCGACGATTCAAGTCGCTCTTCGTTGGATGCGGTCCAGAGGGAGAAGCTGGTACTGAGGTGCCCCTGCATAAAGATGAGAACAATATTGATGATTGATGACGTTTTCCCGAGAAATATTGGGGCGGCCGGTGTTAAGAGCATCTCCCGTATTATCGTCTGCATGGCAATGGATGCTACTAGTTCGCAACATGTCATTGATATGCAGAAGAAACAGTGTGGTGGCAAGGTAGCAATTTGTCTTAATTGGTACCTTAGGGCCAAAGTAGTTATCTTTTAATATTGAACTTGAAAGAACGAGAAAAAAATGACCAGGCATTTACTGCAGCCTTAATAATTATGGTTTATTACTGCTAATGTGCGCCTGTCACTCACGATTTCTACTCCACCTAAAGGTTGACTGAAAGTGAATGCTTTGGGCATTAAGTAAATTGTTTTTTTTTTGTTTCTTCATAAAAACCCGAATAAGGTGAAGTCCAAAGGCAGCAAAGGTTCTGTAAAAACTTATAAATCGATAGTTCCTGCTCTCGGTCGTTGCTCTCAGGAATCTGTTCTCGAATCTTCTTCGTTTTTTTTAACATTGGTGGTGACACTCCGTATTCTTAATCTGTCACCACACGGAAGCACCATAATTCTTAAATGTCAAAGAAATAATTCAAACACACTATCAATAATTAATTCTAGTCAGTGTAAAGATTAAATGAACAACCTGTATATTACATTTTGCGCTTAGAACAAATAAGCACACACAAATGGAATGGTCATTTTGTGCTTCCTCCAATGAGTTAGTGTCCTATCTCCGCATTAGTAATTTTGATTGTGCAATTTTGTTCTATCTGCATACAAAATCTGTAAAATAAGGTATATTTCGTTACCATCAGTAGACGAAAATTATAACAATCAATTCTTGGTAACTCATGTATTGAGAAAGACTTTCAAATCTTGAAACTATGGCTTTTATTTTCAATAGAACAAAAAAAAATTTCGTCCTGTAAAATTCACCCAATGGTAGATAGGACACATAAGCACTTAAGCGACGAGAAGCGGTTTAAAGAAGCGCATATTATATCCATGCTTATATTATAAATGTGGAAGTAAGTTTGTTTGTTTGTAACGCTTTCACGCCTAAACCACTAAACCGATTTTAAGAGTTCTTTTACCAATAGAAAGCTACATTATCAGCGAGTAACAAAGGCTACCTTTTACTAATTAATGCCATTATTAAATACAAAATCAGCTGCGTAATAAAATTTGTCCAATAAAAAATTCCAACTTTTTTTTATAATTTGTTTTTATTTCGTTTAAAAAAATGATAACAAGCAAAATTTAAAATTAATTAAACTTTCATCAAGTGATCTTGTTAAGTTGTTAAGTATATATATAAGAAGTGTAATAAGAAGCAATTTAATCTATCAATTAGACCAATTATTTAAACTTTTGTGTCGACTTTTGTTAGAACAGAGATTGCATAAAAATTAGTTACATAACTTTTTGAAAAATTGACCTTTTTTTCCAACCGTCTTTTATCCTTTAAAATGTTCTGATGACACTTTTATTTTTTATTTTTTTAAGTAATATTAAAACACTAAAAAATATATTTTGTGTGATATTATACTGTCTCAAGCAGCATTGCACTCATGCTGTAACCTATTTTCGGAGTTGAATAAAAAAATTCCGTTGTTTAAAAGTTGTTGAATTGAAAAAAGTTGAATTCCGGCAGTCCAGATTTTTATTGGCAATTGCAATTTTTATAAGCTAATAAGTGCTCGAGATACCTTTTTCTAGACGTCATTCCGAATCGAATAAGCTATCGAACATATTTTTAGGATTGGGAACAAGAATTAACACGTTTTTTAACTTGTTCACTGGACTAATTATAAGAATTACAAATATGTGGTTACAATTCGCTAATTTCCAATGTTTTGATTTCTGTTTATTAAAAACGATTCAAATAAAAAATATTGTTTGTTAATATGTTATGCTAACAAAAAAAATACACCAAACTACGGAGCAACTGCGAATCCTGTATCGCGATATGAAAAGTTCTCACACCGATTACCATAATATACAACTTTATATCATCAACCTATGTGCAGCGGCGGGCCAGGCATAATCACGTCGCGGCGTCGCCTGTTCGAAGGATCCTTCATTTGTGTACGAGGGACATGACACCCATACCTCTACAACTTTATTTTGAAAAACGTTGCAAGATAATGACTGTCTATTATCCTAACACATGTAATGCTCTTTACTGTTGAAGTTTAGTAATTGGTACATTTTCTTTTTTGTAAAATACTGCTGCGTAGATTTGTCTCGGTTCTCGGTGTTTAGCTTACGATTTCACTACAAGCACTCTTATGGTGATGACTCTTATAGTCATCACCATATAATTTTGAACTCGCAAACATGCTCTTATTAATCAATAAATTGTTTTCTTTCAGTAACGGTGGCTACATAAAAATACTATTAGAGTATAAATTATGTTTAGGAGTACAATATTTTAATTTTTTGGAGGATTTTTTAAAATTTATTTTGACAGCAGCTTTCCGCCATCGTTCAAATTAAATATGAGCAGTCTACCAGTGTGCGCTTTTCGAGCGACCTATTGCCATACACCCAAACCCAAGAAGAAATTTCGACATTCAAACCTTCAAGAAGACAGCGTTCTGGGTGCACTTGTAAAGGCTGCCATCGCACTTGCAACTCCTAAGTTACAGATGTACAAAGGCGGCGCTAATAACTTGCAATCGGGTTACCTGTAAAAAAAATGTTTAAAATTAACTATGTTTCAAAAACAAGGTTATTTTTATGTGCTTTTCGTCACTTGATTATAAGAGGAACATGAAAATGCTGTAAGTTATCAAGTTTTCAACTCATTTATCTGTTGTTTTCTTAATAAATAATGTATTGACGTGATGTATTCGTGTTATATTAGTACAAAGGCCACATTTCTTGAGAATAGTCGTATATACATTGATAAGATATAGTTATACCTTGATGACCTCAATATTTTTTCAACTTTATTAAATTGCTAAGTGGTTTTCGACATGTGATTTTTTAATTCCATGTAAAAATTTGTTCAAATTAAAAGTTTAGAAAAAAGTAATATACAATATGTATTCTAAAGTACCAGTGTTCAAACCATATTGCTTCTGCTTATCTCCAAGAAGCGATTTGATTACGTGGGGGTGTTTTAAGTTGGTAAGTAAACGTTTACATTTTATTATAATACTTACTCTTAAGTTTTAGTTTCTTACTTATGTATACGCAGTATTGTTACATACAATAGTAGTACAGGTCATCACAGCAACAGCCTTTAATAGTCCACCGTAAGAGTCTCCTTAGAAAGGAGGTTTTGGCCTACTAAACCACGCTGGCCAGACGGGTTGGTATAGGGTTTGTGTCAAGTTTTCCTTCTCTCTGCAGTGTTGTTGTTCTGCGTAGTTTTTTCCCTTAGTCGGCTCTTACGAGACCCACGGGATGAATAGGGGTGGTGACACTCTGTATTCTTAATCCGACACCACGTTATTATTTTGTCAATATACTACAGGTATATTGACAAAAACATAAATAGCCAATTAGAAATCATTTCCTGTTTTTAATTGATTATTTTAAAAGTGCTTACTTTAACTTGCAATATTCGTATGTATGTGTGTTAGCCACGAATCTTGAAAACCAAATTGGAACCACTTCCCGAACTCCAAATAAGCTCAAATTTGGTGTACAGTCTTAAGTGATAATACAATAATATGGTACCATTGAGCTGTTCTGAAGATGGATCCGGAAGACGGTTATAGGATTTTCTTGATTAAACGTGATACACCCACCGAGTTTGGGTTTTTGTCTTGATAGTATAAAATCAGTTTTTTGTTTAAAATACAATTAGTTTATTACTTTTAGAGTTAGTACTCTTGGCCGTAAATTACAAAATAAAACAAAAATCAAATGTAACCTTTTTTATATTACTTGTTTTTGACGTTCTACGTAATATCGATGGCTAAATAAAACACATAAAATTTGAGACTTTTGACAGTTACTCACGCCCTCTAGTGCCAGTAGCTCGCAACCTTGCGTTTACTTATTTTCATGTAAATGAATGATCTAAATGACGACTCCTGTTTATAAATTTCTCCATTCCTGGTGACAGGAATTGGCTACAGAAAGAATAACCAATTGTCATGCAAGCAACTGTCGCGTGGGTTACGACTGCTATAAGGCTAGTTTCAATAACAAACTCCCAGATTATGTATGAATCTTAACGGTTCATTCATACATACATTCCCACCGTACGTCGTTTTATACAATGGCGGGTAGCGGATGGATGCGGATTGCTCAAGACCGACGGTTGGCGCTCCTTGGAGGAGGCCTTCGATCAGCAATGGGCGGCAATTGGCTGATGATGATGACAGTCCCGCCTATATTCCGTCGCAGGGCCTTATTAGAGGCCCATACTCTGATACTAGAGATTTAGTCCCACTTTAGTATTGGCTATAAGCCGTCAAGCGGATACTTTTTGGATTAGGTTGATTGCTGGGAGTATACTGAAAGGAAAGCTAAATAACAAAGAATGACAATAGTAGAAAAATCATATCTATTCTAGCATTTTAAATCGGAAGATTTTCTTTGTTTGGTTCAAGGCGTTACTCTCAGGAACTGCTGGTTCGAATTAAAACAGTCTTTACAGATAGCCCATTTATCTGATGAAGGCTATAGACTATATAACATCACGCTACGATGAATAGGAGGCGAGCATCAATGAAAAATGATTTAAAATCAGGGAAATGTATTAATTTTGAGAGACGCACTCGATAAAGTCAGGGTTGCGTTCTGGAAAGTCCGAGCCCTCTAACACGGTAATGTTATCTACCAGCTGGGTTACAATACCCAGCTCTGTCCTCGAATTAATTACCTACAGCCGCGCGGTACGGAAACAAGCGATAGGGCTGTCCGCTTACAGTAGGTGTTTTAATTTCATCTACCTACTTGACTTTTTTTTCTAGTTGAAATGAAATTCGTTGTGAGTTAAATAGAATGTGTTCAATAAAAATCATCATCAAAAATCATCCTTACAAACTTTAATACCAAGCTACTCCACCAAAATTCAAGGAACAGTTGACAATTATGTTTTTTTTTTCATCTCAGCTTATTAACGTCCCCATTACTTACAGCACGGAGCCACTCGAAATAACAATTTTATGGTCACCCATCCAATGTCGAGACACTGCAAATGTTACCATCTCATCGCGTGTGATAAAACCTACAACAATCAAAACCTCTGACTATCTACTACAAAATCTCACTTCAAAAATGCATTATAAAATCTTACTAGGTAGGTACCTACCATTTGTTACTATCATGATCATTTCATAACGATATTTCGTCTAATTCAATAACATAATGTAAGTGTACATAAGTAAGTTATTTAGTAACTTGTACTTATTTCAATCAAATATTTACGCACGCACGCTTACTGCTTACAAAACCATCACAGTTCGCCACTGCGGCGCATTGTGTATCGAGTGTGCACCGAAGTCGAGATGCGTAGATTGTTTGAAGATAGAATACTAGGCCTCAATTCTGCTATTTTAATATTGTATCAATAGACTGTCGATGGACTGTCGTCGGAAACGTTTTGCACTTTCCGTATCCTACTAACTTTGTAAGACCAATGGCCTACCAATCACTTCACAATCACAAAACTTGTCACTAAACTGCCACTGATACAAATTTCGTCGATGTTTTTTATTATAATTTCTTAAACGGTACACTTTAAATTTGTAAGGTGGTGATCTATTAATTTTCCAGATATGGTGATGTTGTTGATATCACCATTGATAAGCCATTGTCACTACATCGACAGTCTATTGACGCTGTGAATTTATGTTATTAGAATACCGATAGTTTGTACGATTTCAATGGCGTCTCAATAGCGTGTCAATGGAATGACAGTGGACGTTAACATAAAATAGCAGTACTGAAGCCACTGTCAAACCACTGACACGCTATTGAGATACCATCGATTCCTCATTATTTAAAAATATATTACGTTTTTTTGAGGCAATGATTTATTTATTTTTCCAAATATGACAATCTTTTTGATATCACCACTGATGATCCACTGCCATTCTATCGCCACTGTAAAAACACTGAGTTAGTGTAGACTACCGATATTTATAAAGATGAAAATGGCCACTCGATGGCATCTCAATAGCGTGTCAGTGGTATGACAGTGGCTTAGCGTGAACGTAAAATAGCAGAATTGAGGCCCTGAACATTACCGTGCCTCTAAAGTACCGTATTAACGTTTACTACAGAATATTTTTTTACCGTAGAGGGTGCAAACAAGCAGACGGGTCACCTGATAGTAAGTGACTACCACCGCCCATGGACACCTACAACTCAAGAGTCACAAGTGCAATGCGGCTTTTTTAGTCCTCTCGCCTAAAAATAAGGGGAGAGGGGGGTTTGGACTCCAGTAACCTCAATCACTCGATGAAAAACAACGAAAAAAAATTCTTAACTCAAGGTTTCCTGTAAGGCCGTGGCATGACTCCGGTCGATCCGGCCCACTTGTACCGAAGCATATCTCTCCCACGGTAAACTTTTTTTCGACAGCATTTAAAAACGTGTAATAAATAAAAAAACATTTACTTTACAGATAATAACTGCATTATTGATGTTGTACTTTACACTAACGATCGTCGAAATGATAGCAGTCATCATTGCATTAGAAAATATGTATTACATTGACGATGTTGTAATATTCACTGTTATCCTGGGCGTTTTATCTACAGATTTTGTTGTACACATCATTTTCATCGTTGGAACTTATAAGGTCAGTTTAATTAAAGTAGATTATTGGCATGTGCCTAAAAATTATACAATAAAGATTGTGACACTTTAATTGCTGTTTTTGGATAAACTCATAGTAAATACGTAAATACATGTTTTCCGATAAAACAGAAAGTATGCTTAATCCCACTAATACTATAAAGGCGAAAGTTTGTGACTGTGTGTGTGTGTTTGTTATTTCTTAACGTTCAAACGGCTGGACCTGATATCCTGGATTAGAAAAAATATAGTGTTCCCATGGGATGAGCTAGGAATTGAAATAGTATTTGCTACTCTTTCAAACTCAACCGTAGGCATCACCGCGGAGTGCAGCTAGTATTTAAACAAGATACAGTTTAGCGATGTTAGCAACTTCTCCCACTTACAAAATGTATAAATCTTTGTTATAATTTGATAAACCTGTGGATTAAGAGATATTTATTTATTTATTTTACACGTCGTCGTGAAATTAAAAGTTATTAAATGTGTAGATCTACAATCAAAAGTCCTTTTTAATACAGGGTATTCTTTGTATCCGTTCGATGGATGTTCGTGAAGTCCCTGCTACATAGGATATACCTATTCGTCGTATGGAAGTTGTCTTTTTAAAAGACATAGAAGTTTCGAAGTAGAATTAGTAGTGATTTTTTTTTTCGGCTTTTTATGTGTTATTAAGTAGTAGTACTGTGTAAAACATGTGGTCATTTACATAAAGGACCTTAATACGTCAATCCGTGTATTCGAAACCAATGCTATATAGTTTTGGTTTGAAATGCAAAAATATTGTATTTATAAATGAAAAAATGTATCCGGTGTTTAATCTGTCTTTTGTTTTCAGAAAAATTTGAAGTTTTTTAGAATGTACTATTTATACACTGTATGTGTATTAGTACTGACAGTACTTCAGGGCTTCGTATGTTTTGAAATCCTGTTAAAGAAAAGATTTGACTCTTTCACTACATTACTTCCTTTGTTACTATTTGCCGCTGTATCCACTTTCTTTGTTTATTTATGTGAGTATTGTAGTATAACATTTTAGGCTCTAGCATATGTCTTGTGTTTGGGAAGTCTTATTGACTTATTCCACGTAATTAGTCTAGTCACAATCATGTGTTCTGTGTGTAGGTGCAATTTTTCTGTAAAATGTATGTATTTAGAAATGTATGATCATGTTTATCACCACTCTGATTACCATAGTACAGGCTTTACCTAGTTTGGGATCAGACGACCCTTCATGGGATGTGTTCAAGAAAATATACAAATATATTTATATCACAAAAAATCTGATAGTCAATCGCTAAAACATTTCATTTTAGATTGCCCAGAGTTGTAATTTTTTTAAACGATTATTTATTAGCTACGTCTTACAACTACCACTACAATATAGAAATGATCTTAATTGAAGAACAACAATATTTTCGTTATCCTTATCTTATATGTAAGCAGATGTATACACCAAATTCTAAGATATCCAAAACCTCTATCAATTATTACCCTCCCATAAATGCACTTACCTCATTCTTTCTTACTGTTGACTGTCAGGGAATGAATGCCTTAGGCATTAAGTCCGCGCTTCATTTATTTGTGCAAAAAAGTTATGAAATAAATAAATATATCGTTATCCGTGTGGTGAAGGATTAAGAATACGGAGTGTTACCACCCCTGTTCATACCACGGGTTTCGTAAGAGCCGACTGAACGAGCAAACTACGCAAGTCAACAGCACTGCTAACAGAAGGAAAGCTTGACAAAAACCCTATTGCAACCCATCTGGCCAGCGTGGTATAGTAGACCAAGGACTCCTTTCTAAGGAGAGCCCTATGTCCAGCAGTGAACTATTATAGGCTGTTGATGTGATGATGAATATTCTCGTACAACTATGAAATAGCTTTATGACTTATTTTATAAATAACAATCATTTTTTTTATTTCAGTAATCCAAATATATGTTTTTGTACTCGTGAGGAGAGAAATTGTAAAACTAAAAACTCCTGTACCGGGCAGATTTGAAACTAAAGTCACTGTGAAGGTTGAAGATCTACACGAAGAAGAAATAAGCTCAACTGACGACAATAATAAGGAACAAGATATGTATGATAGTAATGACATAACCACATATAGTAAAGTTAATGACATTGGTGTTCAAAGTTAAATATTAAAAAATATATTTGAAGTTGGTTTGTGTACCCTTCAAAAACTTAAAAAGATAGATTAAAAGGAAATCCTGACACGATATACAACCTGCTTCAAAGATTATTTTTATCTATTTCTCGCATCAGCTTGTTTTACATTTCTATTAAATGTAATTACAATGTGCCTGCGTGTTAGGGTACAGTTGGTATATTACTTTGGATATTATAAATTAAACTTGGATCAGTTTTGTATAAATTCAACTACAGTCACGAGACTTTCAGTGAATTTTCCTTTGTCAGCGACCGGTAGATAAAGCATGTTATCAGTTTTGATTGCTTATTTGTTTTTGTTGTTTATAATTTAGTTTTTTCGGATTTTTAAATTACTTCGTACTGTGCAAATAAATTGTACATATTGGTATAATTAATTATTAGACGGTGTTTTATATGTGAAAGCTTGTTTTTAGCTATTTAAGTGTTATTTATTTATGTATTAATATCAGTCTAGCTTTTCTAAAAATAAATAACTAAATTATAAAGTTGTATTATGGAAACGACAGTCAGACAAATTTGTAAGTCCAATTCAACGACTTTATTTTTAGTAGTTCACAGATTGGTGCCTTCAGTAGTATCTAAATTTATTAATTTCAGCATAGATCCTTTACATTTATGACGTGTAACGATAACAACAAGTTGGAAGATATATTCGTATAGGAAATGTATCCCGGAAATAAAATAAATGCAACATTTTATTTAACTACTTTGTCGGCATCATTAAAATCTAACCTACGTAAGCAATTACAGCAAAATGCAAAGTTTAGCTTTTTGGTATTAGTACCAAAAAGTTGTCATCCTCATCTCAGCCGAAAGATGTCCATTGCTGGATATAGGACTCTCCCAAGGCTTGCCACAACAACCGGTCGTCGGACCACATTGTGGAGAGTCTAACCATGCACCGTTGTCCGGTACGTAGTCGCCAATCCGTCTTTTCTGCGAACAACGTGCCTCTCTAACTGCCACTTAAGTTGTAATTGCATTTTACTTTGTGCATTTTAATTGTACTATTGTAACTCTATAGAATTACTACATTTGTTCTCGATGCCGATCATTTGTGCTCGACTCCTAAATCTCCTCGGCTCGATGTATGGTGTTGTACCCTTTTTGTAAATCTCAACATGTTTTGTTTTACCGCCTGTAGTATACGATTATAAGCCAAAAAATGTTGTCTGTTCAAAGTACACCTGACCTACTGTGTAATTTGAATACTTCTATAAATAGTGACAAGTTCAGTGAGGTTTAATTTACGCTATGCTTCATTCCCATAGGGATCCTAGGCTGAAACAACATTACGAAATAATTTTGAAGAAACAAAAAGCTCGTGATACGGATGGCGTAGTGGTTTAGGCGGTCGCCACGCCGCTTCCTACTACGGCGAGTGTTGTGGGTTCAAATCCCACATGGGACGGCACTTTGTGTGATCCACAAATTGTTGCTCTAAGTCTGGGTGTTCTTTGTGTCAATTTCATGTATGTGTGTAAAGTCCCCGCGACACAGGTATATTCCTAATGCGAGCGTTGTCTTTTTTTTAAACTAAACTAAACCAAACTTAGTTATATTGTTTATTCAAATCAATATATAGTAAACATTTCTTTTCCTAGTATCTGTATTATCATTTTATAAAAAAAATCTGACTACTTAACAGCTACGCTCTTTTCTCGATAAAACTTTGAGTACAAGAAGTGTTTTTATTTACCCAGACATACAATAAAATATAATTTGTTGACTTTTTATAAATAACATAATAATTCATAATAACTGATCATCATTGCTACAATCCTTTACTGCGAAAGATAATAAAACATTCCTAGGAATAGTATTCTAAACAGTAACTCCGTCCTTTGCGTCTGAACTGTACGCTGCAAGTTTATCTTTTATATTTCAATGAGGTACTAAGACTATAATAAATCCACCGGTGTGATAAATGACTGTATACTAACCGGTTTAACCCAATTCATTGTTAATATGCTTACTTCATGATTAAAGATGATAAAAAATATCAGCAATAGAGGAGGCAACGTACAATAAACAGCTTATAATTTATAACAAAAAAGTAAATTGTAAAATGAAGTTTATTTTAGTAATAAAAGGGTTTAAGTATCATTTGAAGGCATACACTTTATTCATTGTAATAATATGTAAAACAATTTAATTTATTCAGATTTGAAAATATTTCCCTATTCTAATTACAAGTTAACTTAAAATATTATTTCCTGAGTAATTAGTGTTTCATTTTAAACGATGGATACTCTCTCTGTCCTGAAAATATTAACATCTACCTGTTCTCTTGTATCTTAACAAATTGTGGCTTCTTTCTCTTTACATAGACTTCCGATCATCATGTTATATTTTAACGCTTCAGCGGCGTTGTTTTGAAATTTAAAGGAATCCATATTGTCCAGTTTGGTAATTTTACTCTTCACTAGGAGAATGACATACACCTGGATTACTGTAAATAACATAAACAATTGGATTAAGGCGCGTGCAGTTTCGAGTACATATACATATTAATCTTTTCACTAAAATTTCATCCTGATAATTAGGGTAAACCTTTAAAGCTTTGAGCATTATGCGGGCTAGGCAGGGTTGCTCAGGTTTGTTCAGTATAGTTTCTAATAATAAGGCATCGAAAATATGAAAGTTGATGTATGTACTATACTTACGCAAATTAATAAACAGGGTAGATAATCCTCTGCACATAGACGTAGTAAACAGTCGGCCATAATGGTTTAAGTTTGAACCAATTATTATACCAGTACAAAAAACGCCGAATAATGCAGTGAGCACAAGCAGTGACAAACTATAGAAGTAGTACACCTTCAAGAGCTTCACGTTTTTCTGTAAACAATCAATTTAGAGCTTATTTCATATGTTTTTATTTCGTGATCCACATTCGTGTCAAGTTTTCCTTCTCTTTGCAGTGCTGTTCTCCTGCATAGTTTGCTCCCTTAATCGGCTTTTACGACACTCAAAAGTACAATATACTAATACTACACAAATTTTTGACGGTTTTATCTATAGCCGTGATTTCTGTCGATTTTTTACGTTGCTTTGTATTAACGTTATTTTGATAAATAGTGCTTACGTTACCTGGACACCTAGTTTTAACAATTACTTATTATTCTATATACAACTGCATGAAGAAAAAATATTAATGAAAATGATGATGATTGATGATGATGATGAATTTTTTGATGTCACTGTCTTTAACGCGACCACCCAAATACTCCGAAATATTTTATTCCGAATTTCGATGTTCCGATTTTCAAAATTCCGAATTACATAATACCTCAGAATCACTATCCACTGTTATTGAATTCTTTGGGTTAGGTTGACCAGCGAAAGAAAATATTTTTAATATGTTCGAGTTTTTAATGTTTCGAATCTTCATTTAGTCGGACTTTTTGTTATTCGATCTATTGAAACTCAGTTTTTGAGAATAGTAATTATAAACGTTATGAATATTGAAATTTTTGAATCATAAAAATAGGATGAATAATATTCATCCTATTTTTAATTCCATTCGGAATTATGATACTCTTTATTTTGAAATTCGTATTTGTGACTGACGGAATAAATTTTTTCGTATTTATGTAGTGTACCCGTCGTTAACATGCTCGATATGAATGTAGACTATCTAATCGACTTCAGTATTTGCAGGATCATCAGAAGAATATAATTTATCACATTTATATTTTTACTGTAATAATTTATACACAGAATTTATTAAACATATTTTTTTTTCGTTTAAATATTCCAAACTCCCAAAACTTTCAAGTCAATATAGACTGCACAGATTGTGTAGTAGTTTAAACGGTTACTTCGCTCCTTCCTGCTGCACTGGGAATCGTGCCCTTCCCCACCCCTCACGTTTAGTTTGGTCAATCCCCGCATGGAACAAAACTTTGTGAAATCAAGAAATTGTTGTATTGGTTCAAGGTGTTGTTTTGTATGTTTAAAAAAATGCTAGTATCGCGAGACAGGATATATTCCTAGTGCGGGAATTGTCTTTTTAAAAAGAAATATGTGTGTGTATGTACTCCATGTAAGTTAAACCCTTACGTCAAGTACAGCACAGTAAAGTCTGTGTATGTAAGTCAAACATCTTTCAAACTACATAGCGAAATATATATAGAAACTTAAATAAATACAACTAACCTTATGACATCCGACGATGAAAACGGAATGTAAAATAACATCTGCTGTTACTATGAGCAGAGCTATGGCAAATTGCGTGAAATTATATACAAGTTTGCCCTCCGTTATTTGAAGTAGTATGCACAGCAAATAGAATAGCATTAAAGAAGCTATCGTCTGGAAGAGGAGAAAATTCTTTGTTAATCATATGACCATGAGAAAACGGGTATAATAAGTGACTACCATTATTCTTTACATCTTTAACTTAAGAGAAGCAAGTGCGTTGAGTGCCTCCTCCAGAAGTCTTTTCTGTAAGACCGTGGTAAGTTCCAATCTATCTGGCCCATCTGCTCTAATAAGTGGATCTCTTGGCGTACGTTATAATAATAATAAAGACATTATTATATTACACTGTTATATTTTATAATGGCCTGACCTCATCGACCTACCACAGTCTTGATCCTGTATTCCGTCCATGAATCCTGTATCGCTTGTCATTTACCTCCTAACTTTGTCCCGTCTGAAAATGATGACAGTCCTGAAAAGGTTAAGATCAGCAGCCGGCCAGCCATTGAAGAAAAACAAGTCTTTATAACCCTTTGCGCCGACACCAAAATATAGATGCAATGGACCGACAGACGGTAGGGATGATGATGTGATATCTCATTCGATTTGTAGCTGATCAAATTTACAGCATTTTAGTTTTCTCTATAAATAGAACCATGTTATAATCAATTTCCTTAAATCAAATTTGGTAAGTGATTTTAAATAAATTTGGGAAAATAATTATCTAATAACTACAATTTCTTATATTTCCTAAGCAAATTATGAATTATTTAAGTAAAAATACAAGATTTACTGACCAATTTCAAATAGCCCCACGCCAACAGCCCACCTCTTAGAGGTAAGCAGAAGCAACATCTCTGCAATACTGGCACTTCTTTACGCATCTTGAATTATTTTAGTCTTGACTGTAAACAGTCGTAATGATATTTAAATGACTGGAATGTTGTATTTATATTGATGTTAGATAGCAATTTATATACATCGTATTTTGTTTTGAAAGAGACGGGTAATTCATTACGCGGTACGCGAGTTAGCTTCAGATAACATTAGCATTGTGGGTCAAACGGAAATAATAACAAAAATACCCGATTTCTGTGTAATGAGAAGAACAAAATATTTACAACACTAGATACTCGAAAAAGTAAAGGTGTATAAATTGATATAAAATTAGGACATTCAAAGTATGTATGTATAAAGTCAGAGTAATTAATCCACATAAAACCGTCATAACCCCATTAAAATATTAGGTCAATGGTATAGTACCTCTTATTATTACTACTCAATTAATTAGCCTACTGCAGTCGACTTTTTATCGAATAACAAGGCAAACACGGTGATCCTGATGGCAAGTGAGTACCATGGACTCCTGCTGACTCAAGAATCACGCGTGTGTTCCCGCTCTTTAGGTCCCTCCCTACCCCAGAATTTAGAATTTATACTCCATTTACCATTTATTTAAAAAAAATTGTTCTGCCAAGAAACTCCTAGGTGATTAGAAAGCGAAATCTGTAAAAAAAATTGCTCAACAGACAGTCACAGGCTCCTCTATTAAAAAATATTAAATTTATAGCTGACGAGATATTGGTAGAAAGAACACAGCGTGTTTTCAATTATGGAGTCCAAGCCAACCCTACCAACGTATTTTCCGAGCATTCAGTTTTATGAAATCCCTTGCATGTAAAATTATTGGTAATTTTAGCTTGTATATGTTCAATGTTTCGTTATCATTTCCGTTTGACTTGTACTTAGCGTAAATACCAACGTGATCAATTTATCAAACTGTACAATGATAACTTTTGACGTTACTGATTAAATATTATACTTGGAATAAGTAGTCGCCACTCGAGAACTTTTTCATCCCATGGGCCATCTTTTCTGCGAGCAATGTGCTCCGCCCACTGCTACTTCAGTTTGACGATTCTCCGGGCAATGTCAGTGATTATGGTACTTATTCCTGATTCGATTACGCAGAAAATCGTACCACAAGACAGAGTATGGGTAGGCCCCTTACAAGGTGACCCGACACACGACCAGCGCCTCAATTCTGCTATTACGCCAAGCCAGTGTCACACCACTGACACGCTATTGAGATGCCATCGAGTAGCCATTGGCATCGGTATAGATATCGGTAGTTGAAAATATATTACGTTTTTTGAGAAAATGATTTATTTGTTTTTATTATAATAAATTATTAAAATGAATATTTTTTTTATTAAAATATAACTACATAAATATAACAATAAATAAATAAATAAAATATTAAAAAAAAAAATACAAACAAAAATCATTACCTCAGAAAACGTAATATAAATATTTTCAAATTATAAGGAAATGATTGATTTATTATAATACATTTTTTTTGGATTTTTTATTTAAATAATTTATTTCTTTTTTTATAATTTTATTAATTTATTTATTTATTTTAATAATTAATTATAAAATAAAAATCATTTCCCCAAAAAACGCAATATATTTTCAAATTATAAGGAAATGATTTATTTATTTAATATTTTTTTATTTTATTATTTTTTTTATTTCTTTTTTTATAATTTATGTTTTTATTAATTTATTTTAATTTATTTATTTATTCTAGTAATTTATTATAATAAAAATAAATAAATCATTTCCTCAAAAAACGTAATATATTTTCAACTACCGATATTTATACCGATGCCAATGGCCACTCGATGGCATCTCAATAGCGTGTCAGTGGTATGACACTGGCTTGGCGTGAACATAAAATAGCAGAATTGAGGTCCTGATGAAGGTCGCGGGAAGGGGTTAAATGCGAGCAGCACAGGACCGGTTGTTGTGGCGAGCCTTGCCTGCCAGTGGAAGTCTTTCGGCTGAAATTATGATTATGATTAGAAAAAGTAATTTATTTGTAAATCTACTAATTTAAATATGAGGGTCCTTCAAAATTTGTAATTAGGCTTAAACCAGAAGTAAAAAATTAAATCCATTCTAATATTATAAATGCGAAAGTGTGTCTGTCTGCCTGTGACCTCTTCGCGTTTAAACCGCTGATTTGATTGAGATGGAATTTGGTAAATATATAGTTTGAGTTCATAGTATGGAAAGGACATAGAATAGATTTTATCCCTGAAATTGCCCTTTAAGGGAATGAAAAGATAACCAGTAGCCGGGGAACCAGGTGTACCCTAGGAAGGAAATCCCTGGTACCACGACAGAAACTCCCTGATTCTAGTGTGAGGGACTAAAAGGCCTCAATGCACTTGTGATTCTTGAGACGCAGGTGTCCATGAGAGGCGGTAATCACTATCAGGTGACCCCTCTGCTCATTTGCCCCCAAAACTATAAAAAAAAGGAAAAAAAACATAATAAACGCATTGCCGGTATTGTATGTTCGTTTATCAATTAATGTTTAAGAATTACCCGATATCAAACCAGTGTTATTAAATAATTTATTTATTTAATGTATAATGTTTGGGAAAAAAAACCTAAACAAGAAAACAATGTCTTTAATATTATTGGAATTAAAAAGTAACAATAATATTATTCACAGTTTAAGGTTACTCATTACCGCGTATTCTATAGCCAAGCAAACATTGTTAAAATGTTTAGCTAAGCTATTTAAAAAAGTTCATTTCAGTAAATACTACTACTACAAATAATACTACATCACATCACATCACATCAGATCATCACATCAACAGCCTTTAATAGTTCGTTGCTGGACATAAGCCTCTCCTTAGAAAGTAGGTTTTGGCCTACTTTACCACGCTGGCCAGACGGGTTGGTATAGGGTTTGTGTGGGGTGCTGGGCTAGAAAACCTCCTCGTGGTGCACCCTGGTAACGCTGGCGATGGTACTGTTTCCTCCTTGTCCTCTTGGAGGAGAGGATTATCGCCAGCGGCCAATATTCTAGCAGAAGAGGCAGCCGTTCATCGGCTCTCGGGCAAGGCCTGGTCCAGCAGGGTGGGCGTGTCTGCCGGTTGCCCTGCTGGCTCTTCGCTCTTCGGAGCATGGAGGAGGAAACCTCGGTAAAAAACCTGATGGCGGGGCCCTGTAGGGGCCACAGTTTCTCCGCTGACAGCGGTGGAGAAAGGAGGACGGGCTCGGCGTGTACTCACACTACCACCGAGCAGGCAGGGGGACGTAGTCTCCCTGTCAACCGTCGGCATATCGTAATCCCGAGAAAAGCGCTGTGGTTAAGTCTCGCGGCTCTGATCGGGGGCGAGGGTCTTGGCTTAACCGCCCGGACCGCGAGGAAGATAACCTCTCTAAAAAATTCCCCGAATCCCGTGTTCTGGTGCGTGGCCAGGGGATGCATGGCTGATGGGAAGTTCAGTCGCGAGCGCACTCCAAGCCGAGGTACCTGCGGACCCCTCGGTTGGGTTAAAAACTTACGCTTGCCCGGGAAATGGGGGATCTCTGCCCGGGTGGACCTTTAGTTCTCCCCCACTCGTGGGATTTATAATGGATAAAATTCAAAACTCAAACCAAAAGAAAACGATCGGAAATAACCAACAACAGAAGGCAAGCCTAACGGAAACGAAAAAAACGAAGGGAAGGAAGGAGAAACAGAACAGTGGAGCGGATGGGTCGTCCACTGAGGGTGAGGTGGCGTCGGGGACGCCTATCTCGATGGGGCTCCCAGAAGTCAGTCTGACGCTGGTCTCTGGGAGCCGAAGAGCATCGGATCGGCTGCGTTCCGGATCCGCCGCTTCATCGGATGGCGCGGAGGCCATGGAAGCGGAGCGGAGCGACAGCCGGAAACGCGGACGCTCAGGGGACGTGGAAACCGACACGTCCGGCGAAATGATGCCACCAAAGGTGGCAAGCAGCCGCCGAGGGAGGGCGCGCAAACCGGCCTCGGTCGCGATCCCGTCAGGCTCCGCGTTCTCCAACGCGGAGTCGTACAGGAACGTACGGGTGGACGGCGAGGCCGTAGCGGAGGAGGAGATCGCGGATCTCCTGCTCAAGGTTCGGGAGCCGGTGGGGGGAAATGCCCCCCAGGCTCCCGTGTCCGTGCAGGAGAGGGCGAAAGCGGCGGTGGCCGTCATCAACAAGGTGGCCACCAAATCCGTGAACCTTAAGGGCTCGTTTGTGAGGGCCCTTAAGGACTCCTCCTCCGCTTTGTCGGAGGTCGTGGAGGGCCTAGCGGGCGACGTCTCTCGCCTGCAGGTGGCCAACGAGAAGCTGACGGAGCGGGTGAACGAGCTGAGCGCTCAGTTCGCCCGCTTCCAGGCGAACCTCCCCGAGCGGGAAGCCCCGTCCGCGTCCCAGCCTGCCCCTACCACCAACTCAGGGGCATTTGACTCCCAACTGCGAGAAATCCTCATCGCAGTTGGGAATATGCTGGACGGACGCCTGGCTGGCCTGGAGGCGAGATTGCCTCCTGCGCCGATTTTGCACCCCCCGCTCGCGTCGGCACAGCGGCCTAAGGCCGCCGCTCCGACCGCGCTCCCCGTTGTGGGAGGCCGCGTTTCTTACGCGGCGGCGGCGTCTGCCCCTACTCCATCGGCTCCACAAAAGCCGAGGAGGGGGGCCAAGGCACCGGCCCAGGCGCCGGCCAAGGCACCGGCTAAGGCGCCGGCCAGGGCGCATCCCCAGGCGCCGGCCAAGACGGGGCCTAGAACAGCGCCGAGGAGCGGAGTGGCATTCCCTCCGCTCCCCACTCCGACACCCCTGCCGGGCCCCTCCGCACCTGCCCCCTCCAACGAGGGTTGGCAGGAGGCGAGGGGCTCCAAGAAGTCCCGAAGGCGGGCCAAAAAGGCTGCCAAAAAAGCAGCCCAAGCCCAGCCTTCGCCACCCTTCAAAAAGGCCCGGGACAGCCTCGCCAACGATTTTGGAACGGTGGGGGTCAGAATGCGCCTCGCCCAGACGGGAGCTCGAGTCCTCGAGTTCCCTGGGGCTGAAG